TCAATCAGTACCTGGTCCTTCTGTTCCTGTGACGACAGCCAGTCTAGTTTGAACCTGGGGTCCAGAAAAGCCGCTGCTCGAACATCCCTCATTTCTATGTATGGGTCCAACAATTTCTTCACAAAGTCCAACAGGACTCTAGCCAAAGGTTCACATTACTGCAATTGGCCATTGCTGTAAAACCCAGATCTAAGTACAGTAGATGCTCCAGTGAATGTTTAACTCCCTTAATCACTGGTCCAGTGGTAGATATAGTTGCCTTCTGCCCCTTCACAACTTCCATTGCCTCTTGAAAAGGTTCGAGGACACTGACAAGCTCCTTCAAGTCACAAATCTCCATTAGTGTCATTGTTTTTCCTCCTCTCTCTGGGACAGAAGATCAACTGCAGTATTTACCTCTACAGGATTCTTGAGTAAAGATTTCACCATTTTCAATTGTGAATTCCATCGCGTCACATTTCGTGTCTGGAGAACAAGCCCTTTAGATCGAAGGTATGGAGCAGCTACTGTCTACTTTCGAATTGAGTTGACCAAGGATGCAACTTTCTGAAGTGTTGATGCAAGAAGTGAAGTTTTAACATCTGGGTAAGTAAACCCATCCTCAATCTTTCACACACAGTTGCTGAGTGTGGGCAAAGCAACCCATTCTTTCAGGGAGGGATGACAGAACATCTTCCAAGCTAATATCTTCTTCAAGGATGTTGGGGTCACCTCCTGAATCTTCACCCTCTGTTTGTTCCTGATCCATGTAGAAACTTGGCAGGGACACGTCAAAAGCTTTTGTGGGGTTTCGAGATGTTGGTTCACACTCAGGATGGGTTGGAGAAAGGAAACTCACAATGCGCTGTAGGTAGAAGAAGAGGCAGGTCACTGCGAGGTGAGGTCTTATATAGCGGAGGTAGGCGTGGCTTAATAGTTGACCTCCGCTTTGTTAGGCGGCGCTAGTGGCCGACCTTAGACCACGAGGCGTCGGCTGGGGAATTCGAAGAGGGGTTGGCTAGTCAGCGACAAACGGCAGTTGTAGTTGTAGGGGAAATTTCCACTACACTTTCACCTTGGAAGATGCGTTATCTGTAACCACTTTCTTGACTTTTCCTTGAATGCTCGGGGTACTGAGTTCACAAGTACAATTAAATTACATGATTGTCATTTAAGTTACAATTATAGTTACAATTAACTGATAACTTTTCAATTATAATTCCTTTTTTCCTGTAATTAATTGCATTTCAATTAAATTACAAATACAATTACTCCAACCCTGCTTACAGCTCCCCCAAACCCCCCAACTGAGTGGGCGTGTAGTGGAAATTTCCCCTACAACTACAACTGCCGTTTGTCGCTGACTAGCTGACCACCTCTTCGAATTCCCCAGCCTACGCCCGTGATCTAAGGTCGGCTACTAGCGCCGCCTAACAAAGCTGAGGTCAACTATCAAGCCACGCCTACCTCCGCTATATAAGACCTCACCTCGCCGTGACCTGCCACTTCTTCTACCTACAGCCACGCAGCAAGCAACACCTCTGAGCACGCTCCTCACCAACCAGCTCTCTACTCCACGCTTGTAACCACGCTGCAACTTCCCAGCACCTAGCTACACTGTACATCCAATACAATATATATATACAGAGAGCGCATTGTGAGTTTCCTTTCTCCAACCCATCCTGAGTGTGAGACAACATCTCGAAACCCCACAGGCGCGCTGCGCTCCCCATGTTCCCCCCCAGACCCCCACCCACAACTTCTTGGACCCCCTTTTTTATATTCCTGGATCCGCCCCAGAATATATAAACGAAAATCTCCCTAAACGTGCCAAAATAACTGCTGCTTAAGATAGAAAACAACCAAGCCACCTCGTTCACGAAAGTTATCATACCAAATTATGCCTCGGCATAAAGATACAATAGTGAACAATAATAATAAAACTTGCCTGACTTATTAAGGTACAAGAACGCAGACACTACGCTGAATATCATAATTAGTAAAATGACCCATTTGATCGATAAATATATACCCAATACCAAACCCAGTGCTTCTAGGAATACAAGGGGATCCCTACACATGAACCATGCGGCGGTCGACAAAATTAAGAAGAAAACCCAGAAATTCAAGACGTGGGTTGGGTCAAACGATGAGCAAGACAGGAGGATGTATGCAAGAGCCAGAAACCACGCAAAGATAAAGTATAGGAGGGCTGAAAAGGAGTTCCAGAGGCTGGTTGCAAGCGAGGTCAAGCCAAACCCAAAGGCGTTTAACCGCTATGCAAAGTCGAAATTGAAAACGCGAGTAGGAGTATCAGACTTGAGGCTGGTGGATAGTAGTTACGCAGATTCTGACCAGGATAAAGCTGAGGCATTGAACAGCTTCTTTTCCTCAGTGTTCACAATAGAGGATGCAACTAACCTTCCTGCGTTTGAGGACAGACGATTCGACACAGCACTGACCCACATTGTGTTCACAGAAGAGGGTATTAGAAATAAACTGTCCAGGCTAAAGGTCCATAAGAGTCCCGGACCTGACATGGTGCATCCTAGAGTGCTAAGAGAGTTGTGCAACTAGCTTGCAGAGCCCCTGAAGATCCTGTTTTGTAAATGCCTGGATGAACAAATGGTCCCCAGTGAATGGAAAGTGGCTTATGTGAGTCCTATTTTCAAGAAGGGCGATCGGCACTCCACGAACAACTATAGACCGGTGAGCCTGACCAGCATAATACGTAAAGTACTTCAGAGTATTATCAGAGATGCCGCAATGGAACATCTAATACGAAACAACCTTGTAAAAGATTGCCAACACGGTTTTATGCCGGGGCGCTCCTGCCTAACAATTGCTCAAGGTATTGGATATTTGGACCCATATTCTGGAACGGGGTGGTAATATCGACAATATTTACCTAGATTTTGTCAAGGCTTTCGACAGTGTACCCCACGAAAGGCTGAAAATCAAACTGGAAGGGTATGGAATTCGGGGAAATGTCCTAGCGTGGATAGAAGACTTTCTACATGACCGCTAGCAGTGTGTGGTGATTAATGGTACGAAATCGTCATCTGTACCTGTCACAAGTGGGGTACCACAGGGCAGTGTATTGGGCCCGCTGTTGTTTGTTTGTTTCATAAATGACATGCCTGACGTTGTACACTCCTCCATACAAATGTTTGCCGATGACGCCAAGTTATTTCGAGAAATTAAGAACCAAGCGGACTGTGAAGAGCTGCAGAAGGACCTCTGTGGGCTCCAGGAATGGTCGAAGAAATGGCTGCTGAGATTCAATGTCACAAAGTGTAAGAGGATGCATCTGGGGCGTACCAACGGTAAGGAGGCGTATCATATGTCCCAACGTGATGAAGAAACTGCGCTAGTTGAGACTGTGTGTGAGAAGGACCTAGGTGTGTATGTTGACAATGAGCTGAAGTTCTCGGGCCATTGTGAGAAGAAGGTAAATCAGGCAAATAAATTATTGGGTCTTATAAGAAGGTCGTTCAGATATCTAGACGGTCCGTCCCTCGTGACGATTTTTAGGAGTGAAGTGCTTCCCCATCTGGAGTACTGTCACCCCATCTGGTCCCCGAGATATGCTAGGGACTGTCAGTTGGTTGAAAATGTTCAAAGGAGGGCCACCAGACTGGTGCCTGCACTTCGGCACCTCGGCTACCCTGAGAGATTGGAGCTCCTGAACTTGCCTAGCTTATACTACAGACGGGCAAGGGGGGACCTAGCTGAGGTGTATAAGCTTCTCAGGGGGCACTACTCAGTTGAGTGAGCTGGCGGACGCTCGACCCACAAGGGGTCACAGCTCAAGATTGAAGAAGCCGGAAGTCCAGAAAACCGTGAGGGCAAACTTTTTTGGAGTGAGGGTTGTAAACTCTTGGAACAATCTACCAGAGAGTGTTGTGACGGCTCCGAGTGTGAGCTCTTTCAAGACAAGACTTGACCAACACTGGAGCGGGTTCAGGTACATTCAGGAGCCGGTTCATGCCCAGTATTTGCCAACAGTGCGTGACAGAGACGTGACTGATCGCCCAAGCGGCTAACAAGCCGATCAGTGGCGAAGAGGATAAAAGTAAAAAGCGGTAACGCGCACAACTCTCATTAATATGTCAAGGGTTCGAGCCTCGGCCCGGACACACGTGAGAAGGGTGTTATTCAGTGTGACCCTACCAAACATAACATAAGAACATAAGAATGGAGGAAACTGCAGTGGGCCTATTGGCCCATACTGGGCAGTCCCGTTTACACCCAACCCCTATCGCACATATGAGCATCCAACCTATGTTTGAAGCTATTCAGCGTATTCGAGTTAATGATGATATTTGGTAACTTGTTCCATTCATCCACTACTCTGTTTCCAAACCAGTGTTTACCTATTTCACGCCTAAATCTAAATTTGTCTAATTTAAAACCATTGTTACGAGTTCGCTCCTGGTTGGATAGTTTGAGTACCTTTGTCATGTCCCCTTTGTTTAGCCCTGCCTTCCACTTATACACCTCTATCAGGTCGCCCCTCGCTCTACGTCTCTCAAGGGAGTGCAAATTAAGATGCTTTAACCTGTCTCTATACTCAAGGTTCCTAATGCCCGGGATTAGTCTTGTCATTCTCCTCTGAAACCACCACAGGTCCCCCGGTTTCCTCCTGTATTAACACTGGATAAACCGCCCACACGGCTTGTAAGCTGATAAGTGGCGAATATGATGAACGTATAAAAAAATACAGTATTAATAGTAATATACACTCATCAATAATATAAAATACTACAATACAGTAATAATAAAATTACATTAATAGGAATAAACAATAATAATAAAATTATAATCAGAATATCATAATAAAAAACAAGAATATCCTTATTTTCAACTATAAAACTAAAACCCTATTGTTCAAGCACACTGTTAACAAACCGATCAGTGAATTGTTAAGAAGCAGACTGTAAAAACTGAACATTCACATTTCTTTAAGACTATGAAATAACAACATTTATTCTATATTTGTTTCTGGCGCCATAATGTTTTAGGTTGAGGCATCTATCAGCTGCTGGGCAAGCTTACCGCGGGAAGCTATACCTTGGGGATATGGATATAGCTGATTATATAGACAAATTGAAAGTTTCTGACGATCTCTTCAAGGATGTAAAGTTCTATGTGACGGGGAAGGTCCCAGAAGAGGTCAGTGATAAAAGTTTCATGGGTATAGTTTATTATTGGTGATATTAATTGTACTGGTGATGTTTGTATTGGAATCTTTTTCCTGGTGAATTTCAGAACAAAATGAAGAAATATATTGTGTGTACCTCAGGATTTCGTATTAATGCATTTAAATTATTGTTATCCACCCATCACCCTTTGTCACATGAAAAATAAAATATTTCACTAGTTTTTTTGCTGTTTTAGATGATTCTGACATTATCTTTGGGGTAAATCACTTTTTTCTTTCTTTTCTTTAACTTTTTTATTTAGTTAGGTTAGGTTGGTTCCTTTGATATGGGAATAGGTTATTTTTGGTGTAATACTCAAATCTGACCTTAATTTTTGTGTAAGTCAGCGGTTTCTTTTAAAATGAAAATGTAAATTTTTGGCAAATTTTTTTAATTTGCACAAATAATAAAGGTCAGATTTGAGTAATACATCAAAAATAACCTATTCTCATGCCAAAGAAACCAACCATCCTAGCCTAACCTAACCAAACCAACCTAACCTAACCTAACCTAACCTATTCTCATACCAAGGGATTTGCCCCAAAGATAAATGTCAGAATCATCTAAAACAGCAAAAAAAAAAAAAAGAGTGAAAAATTATATTTTTTATGTGACAAAAGGTGATGGGTAGATAACGAAAAATTACTAAATTATTTATATTTTGTCAAAGGCCATTTAATAACTGCAAAGCTGGTAGTGGTCCATGGGTTATTTGTTGCTAGCGTACTGCACTGGTTGGTAGAATATTTGTATAAATTTGACTTCCTTGTTCATGTTTAGGGGAACTCACATCAATCGATAGAACTATTGGTAAAATTGCAGATTACAGCAACCAAAGAAACCTTGTACTCTGTGCTTGCTAACTTATACAATATAATGAAACTAAACCTTACCTGGGCCCCCAGTGGCTGTAGCCGAGCCCCTGTACCCCCTGTGGCCATAGCCGAGCCCCTGTATCCCATGTGGCTGTAGCCGAGCCCCCATACCCCCGGTGGCCGTAGCCGAGCCCCTGTACCCCCGGTGGCTGTAGCCGAGCCCCTGTATCCCATGTGGCTGTAGCCGAGCCCCCGTACCCCCGGTGGCGTGGCGGAGCCCCTGTACCCCCTGTGTGGCTGCCCAGGCCCTGTACCCCCTGTGGCTGTAGCAGGCCCCGTACCCCCTGTGGCTGTGGCCGGAGCCCTGTATCCCCTGTGGCTGTGGCCGAGCCCCCCGCCCCCGGTGTGTGTGTGTGACCCCCGTGCCCCAGTGTGTGGCCAGCCCTGTATCCCCCTGTGGCTGTGGCAGGCCCCCATACCCCGGTGTGTGCGTGGCAGGCCCCGTGCCCCAGTGTGTGGCCAGGCCCCGTACCCCAGTGTGTGGCCAGGCCCCTGTGCCTGTGGCTGTGCTTGAGCCCCATACCCCCGGTGTGTGTGACTGTACCCGTGTGGCGTGCTTGACCCCCATACCCCGGTGGCCGTAGCCAGGCCACGTACCCCCGATGGCGTGGCGAGCACATTGCCCAGATGGCCGTGCTTCCGGTACCTTACCCCGTGTGGCGTATGCCGAGCCACCGTACCCCAGATGGCCCGTGGCGAGCCACACGTGCCCCCGATGAGCATCTGTGACCCCTGTACCCCACGTGTGTGCCAGACCACCCGTGCCCCGGTGGCCGTAGCTGAGCCACCGTACCACCAGGTGAATTTCAGGGATTCTGTGGCTACTTTGCTGCAATATTACCAAACTATTTTTTCTATGATCATTTTCTTCTATTACATAAGGTTAGGTAACTTTTTTTTAATCAGATTCTTTGGTTGCTGTAATCTTTTATATTACCCTCATATATACATTTATGTGTATGTAATTGATCTGAATATGGAAAAAATACCACATATGAACTCAAAAGCAGAAATATCTTTATAAGGAACATTATGCTCAACCACTTATGACCAGATGTGAATGAAGAGAAAGGTTTAAATTTAGGGTAAATTTATAGTAGTTCACACAACTCTGTTAGAAAGTCAAAACTATGTTTTTCTGGTGTGTATTTTTTGTGTGTTTTGATTGGTAAAGGGAATATACATTTCTTTGCACACGAGTTAGCTGGCTCAGTGAGGGAGCGAGAGGTGAGTGTAGAGGGTGGGAGCGTTGGTTGGGAATCTTCGTCCCTGCTGGTCTCCATTGCTATGATGAAACGGGGGTGTAAGCAAATGGCGATTGTGTTAAACTTTTATTTTGTTTTTATTTGCTGATTTGGCAATAAAGTATTTTTTGTTTTAACTTATTTATTGGTATTGTTTTTATTTATTAGTCACATTTCCTGGTACTACTGTATATTATTATTTTAAGAAAACTTTGGCTACAGGAGGAAAGTACCTGTACACACAAAAACTTTTTCCTAAATACTCCCTGCTAAAATGGGGTGTGTCTTATACAGGTATTCTGTAAAATACAGGACTGTATTTTTGGTGTTTTTTATATAATTATTTATCGTTTTTATACATTAGTACATATGCTGGAAGATACGGACAACTGGCTTTTTCGGACGGGTGGTTCCCCCTTTTAGTCCGGATCTTCGAGGGTTCACTGTATCTCTAATTATATAATGGGAGTCAATGGGGAAAATGTGCATTTACTAATAAGAGCTTTTTGCAGAATGTAACATGTAAATTGGGGTCTCCCTGTATGGCATAGTAGTACTGTACTTTATTGATTTTTCTATAATACAGCAACTCTAAATCTTTACTGACTACAGATAACATGAACCAATCAAACCTTACCTATTGAATCCTAATCAAAACATAGGTCAAGTATATGTCTTCCTCAACTCATCTACACATTTCTCATCTATAATACAGTACATTACTGTAGTATACTGTACATAGTGAAAGTCACCAGTAGTAATCTCTGTTGATGTGGAATATAAAAATATTCTAATGTGCATGTGCAATCTAGTAAGTTTACAACAAACCATACTGCCCTATTCATTTGTACCAACTTGTATACAGTAATACCCCGCTTTACGCGTTTTTTTTTTTTACGTGTTTCTACATTTACGCGGTACCCCGCCAGAACCGAAATGTTCACTTTACGCGGTGCATCTACTCATATTCGTGGGAAGCGGCGCAGGCAGGGTGCGCACAAGGTCGCCCTGTCATCAAAACATTACCGAGTTCTTCACCCGCCACAGCCGGCCCAAGTTAGTGATAGTGATAGTGAGGATATGGATAGTGATACAAGTGATACAGGTGAGGGCCAATAATCTGCCCTCTGCCTCGGAACCAACCCCCCATCCCCGTGTGCCCAGCCATCTTTTCTAGTAATGTAAGTGTTAAAAAACCCAATATTATTGATATTTCTCTTAATTATTAATTGTGTGTGAATACCATCATAAAATTAAGAAGTTATTTTTACTACAACGTAGGTATTGTGTCTGAAAAAGTGGAGTTTGGGGGTTGGCCCAGTCTCTATTTCAATTAATCCCATATGTTCTGTTGTTCACTTTACGCGGGCCTCCGTGGGTTCAATTGACTGCGTAAAGTGAGGTATTACTGTAGTTTTTCTTGCACAGTACAGTAGTACCCCAATTTACGCGGTCAATTGAACCCATGGGGTACCGCGGAAAGTGAAAACCGCGTAAAGTGAACAACAGAACATATGGGATTAATTCCAATAGAGACTGGCCCGACCCCCAAACTCCACTTTTTCCGACACAATACCTACGTTTTAGTAAAAATTACATCTTAATTTTATGATGGTATGCTTACACAATTAATAATTAAGAGAAATATCAATAATATTAGTTTTTTTAACACTTACATTAGTAGAAAAGATGGCTGGGCACACAGGGATGGGGGGTTAGTTCCGAGGCAGAGGGCAAATTATTGGCCCTCACCTGTATCACTTGTATCAATTGTATCACTATCCACCACATAGGCTTGCAGGGCCTCTTTGTCAAACCCCTCAAAGTCCATATAAGTCCATATCCTCACTATCACTATCACTGACTTGGGCCGGCTGTGGTGAGTGGCGGGTGAAGAACTCGGAAATGTTTTGATGACTGGGCGACCTTGTGCGCATCCTGCCCGCGCCGCTTCCCGCGTATATGAGTAGATGCACCGCGTAAAGTGAAAGTCCGGTTCTGGCGAGGCACCGCATAAATGCGAAATCACGGAAGGTGAAACCGCGTAAAGCGGGGTATTACTGTATTTATTATACAGTGCAGGTCTGTTTATAATTTATTCTTTCCTTACTACTGTATAATGCTGTATATTATTTTTTAGGTTGTGAAACTTCTCACAGATGGAGGAGCCAAGCAAGATGCACACATTACAGACTACATGACGCACCTCGTCACAGGAGAAGAACCCAGTGAAGATGAAATTGGAGTAGTAAAGGATATATATGAGAAACCCGTTGTAACGTCAAAATGGGTTGTGTTCTCAGCCAAGTGTGGTAAACGGTTACCGTATCCTTTATGCCAAACTTACTGTAGCTCTAATTTTTTTTTTTTTTTTCTTTTTTCTCTCTCTATGGGATAGCCCACCCGGGCACAGTTCACTGACCCACATCAGGGCCTGGGAGGCGAAAATGTAATAATAATAATAATAATAATAATAATAATAATAATAATGTAATAATAATTCAGATAAGTAAAATTTATAGTAAAAAAAATAATAATGATAACAATAATAATAACACTGCAATAATAATAATAATAATAATAATAATAATAATAATAATACTGTAATAATAATAATAGTAATAATAATAATAACAATAATAAAGAACCATAAAGAAAAAAAGAAAAAAGATCAAGAGTGAGAAACAATATACTGTATGTATGTTGTGTTGTCAATGGAAAGAGAAACAATTGAGACCCTACACTTGTGTGTAAATGAGGCAGAAAGTCAGATCAGCAACCTGGGACTTGGTCACAATTTTTGTGATGCCATGTGACTGCAGGGTCTACCATTAGGCAACACATTATGCTTCCAATATCTTCCCAGGTGGTAATACCTCACTGTTTGGTAGCTGCTTGAAGAAGAAGGTAGAGTGGATAGGCAGAATGAGGGATCATGTGAGTGCTAGAATTACAGATGAAAAATTGATGGTAAATATGGAATTGTCTCAATGCTGTGATAAAATGTTGCATAAGCATTTAGTGTGAAGGAATTGATGATTGAAAAAAATTGCATTCTTAATTTATCTGACTACTATCATCTTCATCAATGTTTTATGACCATTTTCAATGGAAAATGTTCATAAAACATTAATTATGGTTATGGCAGTAGTCAGGTAAGTCTGCTACTCTGCATAATTGGAAGTTTTGATGTTATAAATGTAAATATAGTATCTAGGAACAATATCACCTAATTTTCCTTAACTAGATGCTGCAGCTGGGCAGGATTCTCTCCTGAAACCACTCAGGTATTCTCAGGTGTGACAGCATGTATGTCTCAGCTTGGCCGTGCCGACACCCTTGCTGTGTGGGCAATGATTACTTTTGCTGGAGGACAGTGCAGTCTTGAGTTAAATAACTCCTGTACCCATCTCATTCTTGGAAAACCTGAAGGGGTAAGACTTTGGATGTTATACAAAATCTATTACAGGTGGTGATGTATCATAATATGATGTGTGTGTGTACCTGTTTCTTGATATAATTTAGTTTTGCTATAAACTTTAGATAAATTCATGGAAAGTATACTCATTAGAAAACAGTTAACATAAGTTCATACTTTTCACAAATATACGTCTGATGTATAATGAGTACACACGTTGCGTAGTGTATGTGGTCAGTTGTCAAATTTCTCTTTGTTAGGCTCACATACATACATGTATGAGATCTCGCACTAAGGATGGAGGTGAGAAGGGAAACTCACTATGGTATTTTCTATATATATATATATACTGTTTATATATATATATATATATATATATATATATATATATATATATATATATATATATATATATATATATATATATATATATTTATATACTGTTTATATATATAATATATATATATATATATATATATATATATATATATATATATATATATATATATATATATATATATATATATATATATATATATATATATATATATATATATATATATATATATATATTATATATATATATATATATATATATATATATATATATATATATATATATATATATATATATATATATATATATATATATATTATATATTATATTATATGTACAATGCAGTGCTAGGGAGTTGCTGTGTGGTGAGGAGCTTGTTGAGAGGAGGTCTTGTCTGTTTGAGAAGCGTTGAGTAGAATGACCTTCACGGCGAGGCTGGGGGTATTTATACAATTCTGTCAGATGCCGGAAGTGAGCGGCGCTGCTGATTGGCTGAGGTGAAGGCGGTAACTGGCCAATCACCGCGCAGTCCGAAAGCGAGGCTTGGTCTGTGGAACTCGCCACTGGTTGGCTGGTAGCGACAAATCAACAGTTGTAGGCGCACACACACACACACACACACACACACACACACACACACACACACACACACACACACACACACACACACACCACCACACACACCACCACACACACACACACACACACACACACACACACACACACACACACACTGACTGTTAAGCATTTTCAATAATCATCAACTAATTCAAGTATAAAAACATCATTGGGGGATGCAGTTAACCAGCATACTCATGGTATAAATACATAATGGTTACATAATACTTGAAGTGTGTGTGTGTATGTATATATACAGGTACAGAGTATATATACTGTACTGTACCCTGAACTGAATCACAGATAGTGTCTCACAAGGGGATGCACTCAGCCACCTAACACATAATCCTCCACAAATAGTGTTGTTACGCCGTACTAGTTACCTTCTGTAATAATGGAAACTCTTGCGCAACCCCAAAATTTTTATAATGGGACTTATGGGAGGCAATCTGTATCCTCGAATTTCTGTAAGCCGAGTGTTCTGTAACCTGGGAGTGTCTGTAGTTTAAATTGTAGAGCGGAAAATTCTTTATTGGGTTAAGTGAAAAACATTTTCATGATGCAGTTCTCAAAGGTTTTCTGACTCAGTCTGTAGAAATTAACATATACAGGAGGTCCCCGACGTACGAACGTCCAACTTACGAACACCCTCTGATGCGACATATGTACGACTGGTTCGTAGTATTTATGTACGAGAACTAGTTTGTGTGGCGTAGAGGTAAGGCTGAGTGGCACGTGGGGAGTAAAGCGTCGCCCAACCACATGCCTTGAGGGATCGTCAGTACGCTTTACCCTCACCACATTAACTTGTGTGATCAAGTGCAAACTGTTGTTTTTTTCCCTATTAACTCTCTTTTTGTCCTCGTCATGGCTCCCAAATGCAAACCAGATGCAATTGATAGTTGTTTGTGCATCTAAGAAAATTAAAATTACAATGGAACTGAAAGTTGAAGTAATTAAACGTTTTGAAAAAGACGTAACACCCTCAGTCATTGGTAAAGCGTTGGGTTTCAGTCGGTCAACGGTTGGAAATTTTTTGAAAGACAGACAGAAAATTCTTGAATATGTAAAAGGATCTAGACCAATGTACTCAAGTGTGATAACAAAACAAAGAAGTGGATTGTTAATTGAAATGGAAAGATTGTGGTATGGGTGGAAGATCAAAATCAAATTCACGAAAAAGCGAGAAGCTTGCACACTGACTTGAAGGCTAAACGTGGTGGTTAAAGTGATGGGGAAGATTTTGTTGCTAGCAGGGGCTGGTTTAACCAGTTCAAGGTAAGGGTAAACGGTGTTTGGAAAACACAGTTTGTCCACGATTTCAGGAGCTTTAAAAATGGTGTTGGGAAAGTGACACAGACAGTGGTAGACCTTGGGAACCAACTCCAGCCTGATATTCATGAAGATGATGTCACACAGTTTCTTGAGTCTCAAGCTGAAGAATTAAACATTGAGGACCTTATTGAACTGGAGAAGCAAATTTCGTGAGAGGATGTAGAGGAAACAAACCCAAAGTGATTCATTATAAAAGAAATGGCAGATGGTTTCAGGCTTATTGAAGAAGGATTGTTTAAATTTGAACAGCAAGATTCATAGAGGTATTACTGAATATCTACGATGCTACAGAGAGATTTATGACGAAAAGAAGAAATTTTCAGTTCATCCATTCCAATAAAGCCTTTGTCACTCCTGCTAATGCCCTTCTCTACATGCAAGCCAGCCCCAGGTTTCAATGTAAGTGTTAAACTTAAATTTTTAGTTTCCTTTACTGCATTTTGTCATTCAATTTTCTACTTTTCTCTTAAATTAAGTGATTCTAGATATGTATAATGACATAGACTATGATATACGCAGTGGACATAGGGTAAAAGTTCCGACTTACGTATATTTCCAACTTAAGAACTTCCACAGGAACGACATAACCAGGGGATCCCCTATATAATGCAAACTCATTTTCACACCAACTTTGAGGTGTAGAGCTTTTGGTGCATTTTTTCTGTAGTGGTTGCCCCAGTAGATCTGTTCCACATTTTTCTTGTTTAAGATGATGCCATTAAGTACTTGAATAGTTCTCTTCATCAGTCACAATTAGGTCATCAGTTGGATCATCTACAGTTTTGGAATTCAGGCAACTTTGACCATGGCAATTAGTGCACATTATAGAATAGTGTAAACCAACTTTTACACAACCACGCTGCTTCCTGCACCCTAATATGCAGCCACATGAAATAAGTTTCAAGAGATTTGTCGGGACTGGTGCCTCAATTGTGTGGACAGGTGACAGAGAATTTTGAATTTTTTCCAGCCCCACAACTCAGGCTGTGGTGTTTCTCCTCTCCAAGTTTGAACTTGGTGAAAGAAATGATAAGAATGTTGCCTAGCTGCTGCAGAAGTGAGTGGAAGACATGATATGAACACAGCATTATTTAAGTGACTGACAGATTTGATAAAAGAAAGAAATCTGTAATGATTGAGATTTGTTTCAATGTGTGGAGCTTTATACAGAGCGAGCTTGATGATGATGATAATGATAATGGAGATACAATGGCAATGGTTTGCCATGGGAAGGGAGAGAAGAAGGAAAGTTATGAAACGGGAAGTAAAGTAGTAGAGAATAAAAGCAGGTGGGCTATCCACCTAGCAGAGACGATTTGATTGGCTGTGGTGAAGGCCGCACTAAGAGGTCGCCCGGGGAGGGGGGGGGGGCTAAGCTAGCTAGCAAGGGGTTGTTTGTAATTGTGTTAGTTGGAGAGGTCTACTAGGTCCTTGTGTAACTAGTAGAATACTCGCATCTTTTGTTTACTTTTGTTTAGTGTTTAGTGTACAATAGTTCTGGCTCTTGAGGGTTATAGAGAAGGCTTTTTTGCCACCAGTTGTGTGATCTTGTGGTGTCCTCTGTTTTTAGTCGATTATATATATTTCGTCTTCCATGACTTCTAGTTTGTGCCATACTGCCTGTGCTTGTCTGTATGTTTTTATGTTCAATGGTAAAATGTTGTATTTTTCGTGAAGCTCTTTAATTTTGATTGTGTATGGGGGACGTTGTTTGGAGGCTCTGCGGATGGCTTTGTTTTGTGTTGCCTGGAGTTTTATTGGTTGGTACGGCTGATCGTGTTTAAATCACTCCAGCGGTTGCAACTTCATCATCGTGTCGATTGAGGATTGTTGAAAACCGATACCATATCTTGCAGAGTCATTTTTGTTGAGGAGATTCATCATTTTAATTTTTCCAAATCCGTAAAATGAGGATGTTGTGTCCCAACCACTAAATGCACGAGATACCAAAACTGATTCCTTGTAGTTCTTTAGTCTTCCTCTGAGGTTTCCCTGTACTTCTTTTAAAAACATTATATCTGTCTTCTGGAGTAAGAGCAATAAATAGAGTGAGAAGTTTTATATCCTGTCCAACTATAACAACAGAGTCATGCTGGTAAGACCCAATGTTAGCACTTTGAATAATTAGTACATCAGCATCATCTGCAGCAATACTTTCATTCTCAAGTCTGTTTCAGTTGCATAATAAGACTCCTTTTTTTAGATTACTCAATAATTTTTCCTTAGGTGTAGTTAGAGCCTTATCCTTCTCGAATAAAGATTTTGTCTGAAATTTGTTTAAAAAGTCTTTGTTGATGCTCGATGCTCTTTGTACTGACTTTATTTGTTGAATGACCATCAAATATTAGTTATATCTTCGCCATAATGTGTTTTAATGAACTGGATATAAGCAGCAGAAACATCTGCAGTTGTGCCTTGCTTTGGCCAAATTACATGGTGGATTAAGTTACCCTGATAATTCAACTATTCGTTCTTCGACAGTGTTGAATATGTCATACAAAAACGATTTTTCGTCTTTCTCGTCAAATCTGTTTCGTCAAATATGGAGAGCTGGAATGAAGCCAACCCATGTCTGTAACAGGTCTACAAGTTTTGTGTCAACTTTACAGTACAAATTATTCTCTGAAATAATTGAGTGGTATCAACCTCTATGATGTCATCTGCGACTTTGACACTGGTATTCATGTAAGAAACTGACTTCACTCTGTTGGTGCATTTTACTGTAAAATCTCCAAGAATGCCTCTGCCTTTTATGGGTTCATCCATCAGTTTCTTGCCAATATTTTGAGCTTTGCAGCAGTTATGTTTTCAGTTGCAACCATATCATTTGACAGCAAAACAAGGACTTCTTTATTAATGAATGGAGAATGCTGCTGAAGCCATACAACAAATTTCTGAAGATCCTCTTCATTCCTTCTAATCCTTGAAGCTCTCACTTCAATATGCTGAAAACTACTGCTTGTTTGAATCCCACAAAACTCTTCCACATTCTCGCTTACATGGTGAACTACTGGCAAACCAAAGATCCATTTACAGTTGTTACCGCAAGCAGTAATGAGTAGGATGACACATAAACAAACATTATGTTAGGCTGTAAGTCATGTCATGTTTATTGGGTGTGCCTGCCCGTATACAGTGTGTAGAGTGTTGAGATGGTTGAAGATGAGAGACCTAGAGGAGGTGAGGTGTTGGGTGGTAGTAAGCGAGCTTGTTTGTGTATAATCACCTGACTCAGCAGCCCTCACCCATCGAGAGAGGGTTGGGGAGGCGACAGTCGGCACTGTAGCTATTCAGACCACAGAGGCAACACCTAACCTGGTTTCTCTTGAGACTTTCAACACGTAAGTTTAACTGGTACTTATTGTGTACACAGGTAGACTGTGTCCATTGCATCGTTTATCATTGTGACAACATAAAATATGGCAAATTAAGTACTCATTATAAGTGTTAAGATTAGACTGATTACGTAGCTATGATTGTTATGGAAATATATATTGGATTAGACATTTATGTGATTGCCTATGTATGATTTATGTGAAATACTAAAATGAATTGTATTCAACAGGTTTGACCGAATTATAATGTTCGAGTCCAACGTCACAAGTTTCATTAAATCCTTTAACCGCCCGGATGGCGGTTACAACAGTATTCAGAACACTCTGTGAAGCCCCTTCTGGGTAACGAGATGACTCTCAAAGCAAGAAAAAATCCATCAACCCCGTAATTTTCCGAGTACTAATGGAAAAATTTTCTCCGAAGTTCCGGAAATTGCACATTACATTATCTCTTGAATTTGGAAAAATATCCCCATTTCCGAAAAATGCTCCTGATTCTCATCTTTCAAACCCGGAAAAAAATCTCCCATCCCTGGAATTTTCCGGGTACCGTACTGGGAAAATTTTCTCAGAATTTTCCAGAAAATATGGCCATCTGAAAATCGTTCCCAAAGCCAGAATTTTCCGGAATATTCTGACTTTGGGAAAGATTTCCCGAGAAATTTAAATTCCGGCTATCGTAGAGTTCCAGGTTAGAGGGATTCCAGCTAACGGAGATATTACTGGAGTAAGAATTTGTAATACATGTACAGGTACATATTGTTTTTCAGTATTATCTACAGTGACTTCATGAAACATGATCTATGCCAAAGTGCAGTGTGTTAACAAATGTGCTCGAATGGCTTGTGCATAGGCATGGCCAGAAAGCATATGAGGTACAGATGAAGAAGCAAATACTGTGGACCATTGGTCTGAAAGTCCAGTGCCTCCCATAATGTAGCCAATTTATCTGAGATAGGACATTAAAAGATGAAATCCTCCTAACTTCACAATAACATTCAAAAGTTCACCTTCTTGATTTTCATTTCCTGGAGACACAATATTCTTAGCCTTCGTGTTTAGTGGTTGGTTGAATGTAACAAAACATGTTTTTTGTTTTGATTTCTTTGTTTCTTCTGCCTCAAATTTTAGTACAGTTAGCACTGTGTTGTACTCTGATGGAGGCAGATTAACGAAAGGTAATGCAAGAACCTTTTACTGTTCACATGACAGATTACTCATTATGGCTTCCTTAAAACCTTGCCACGGTAGAAGGAAGGGTGTCTGCAAATTTTTCCGAGCATCTACAGAATATCCTGGGTCGAGGGCATTGTAACATTTTTACAGGCTCCTTCATTGTACACCTTTTGCAAATTCACCTCATTCAAATCAATATTTAATTTTTGTCTAAAAGTTTGTATTTCCATTTGTCCACTGCTTGCTAGCTCATTTGAAGAAGGAATTGTTTGCAAATTCGAAATTTCCTGCTTTATTACTTTCTTTGCTGGTGTTATGCATTTTATTCTGCCCATCGAGTGAAACGTTCCTTTACCAGTTAAGGTACGTATTTATATTAAAATCTTTATTATTAAAAACATATTGACAGAAAGAATCTTTGTCTAAGTCAGGTTTCCAAGATTTAACAGCAGATGACTCGAACAATGCAGCACCATTATAGCTTGAACAAACTCCTAAGTTTGACATTGCATTGACAATGCTTTTGGAAGCCACTTTCCAAAATAAATACACCAAATGACCAAGTACCCGGTAGTATGGAAGACAGAAATGAACGTGGTCTTGTTGCAGCATTTATACAATGAGTGATGCAGTACAGTCAGTCTTCGACTTACGACTGGGTTAGGGACCGACGACCAGGTCGTAAGTCAAATTGGTTCTAAGTCGAAAATGCGAAAATAATACATAGAAAATTTAAAATGGGTGTCTCTTTTTCTTCTCAGCACCACAAGAACTCTCACTTTTACACTTGCCAGCCATTTTAAAGGGAATTACAAACGAAAATTTTATCAGTACACTGCGCGATCACTAACGTCGGGACTCGAAAATACGAAATTTGAAAAATATTTTATATGACTGCGGCGGTTGTATGTCCAGGTGGTCGTACGTCGAGTAGGTCGTAAGTCGAGGAGTACCTGTATACTGTTTTGCTACTTTTTTCTTTTTGCCTTTTCTGCTTTTTAGGATAACCGTATCCAAAAAAGTTTGCAATGTTTTGGGAATCACATCATCTGCATCCTTCATAAAGTTTGTAATATCTGGGTAATCCATTGTGTTATAAGCAGTTGTCCTAATATCATCACGAACATTAATTGCTGTAGCTTCAACAGTTCTTAGGTGCTCTTTTTTCTCATTTGTTTTTCTTTCTCTGTACCAGGAATTGATAAGTTTAAGTCCGAAGCCACGGAAACAAGCAACTGGTTGTCTTTTGTTCATTTGTGCAAACGTGACTCCATCCCCGTATGCATTTGCTAATTTTGTTTTCAGTGTTTTCAGACATCAATGAGCCTTCTGGTAAATGTTCTTCAACTTTCTTCATCAAATCATGTAACGAAAACTGGCATTCCTCAGAATCCTCAATAAAGGAGCAAAGCTTTTCGAAAGCAGAAGCCATGTCTTCATCCTGTGGACGTCCTCTTTTTAAGAGTTGATGGTCTGTTGCATGCAAATTTCAAGTAGCATTTTCTGCTACAAGACTCGTCACGCTGTTTACTCGTCTTGACACTTTCTTGCCCCACTCGTCGTTCCTTTGTTCTGCATCCTTCAATATTTATATTTCACATTCAAAGTACAGGTATGAATCTTGCACATTACTTGCCGTTTCTCTTCAGGCTTTTTCTTTTCCGCAGGAGTGTCATATTTTTCACCACATAAAAAACAATTCCTTTGAAATCAAGTTGTTCTTCTGATCTCAATGTACATTCCTTCAGTTTTTTTTTTTTTTTTTTTAAATAAATCCCTGGCAATGTTTTTCTCTTTAATCTACTGTAGTACTCACATCTTCAAACTTTATGCATTTTAGTTGTGTTCACGTTTTTAATTGAAATTTTTAAAATGGCCGTCTTTTCGGATTTGACTTGCACATCTTAAGTTCTCCATACCGTCACTTACAACCACTGTTTCTCCATCTGCTAAGCTTTGATCACAATAAAAACAATCATTTGTGCATGCCATACTGACTGCATGTCTAGTAGTTTTACTTAACAGAAATTTTCTAAGTGGTACCTGGAAAATAATAATGATTCAGGAAAAGCTTAAAGATTTAAATAGAAATATGGTTTTCATTTATTGCAATGGAGAATTATCTGCTCTACAATTTTAACTACAGGTATATGCATTTATTAATGAAAAATTAGGCATTTGTGAGTTATTTGCCCCAAAACGAGTGCCAGAAGCAAATTTTTTGCTGCATGCTTAAAGTCTCTCTCCACTTCAGACGTGGATTCCATAAAAACTGTAATTTCTAAGTGAAAAATGCATATATACAATCTTGTTATAAATTTTATTTCTAACATTTTTGTCCATATGCAGTTTTATCGTCCGACGCACCGTTTAAAACAAAACTGCGAAAAAGTACTCGCACACCCTTTTTGGGGGGTTGCTGGTCTTGGACGGAGGGGAACTCTCTTGATCTTTATTTCTATAGCCTTCAGGTGTATGTTGCAAAATTTCATCTTTTTATTATTTTTTCTGCCATTTGCCTGTTTTCATGCTAATTTGACTAGACTAACAATTTCTAAAGTAGTCTTAATTATTTATAGGTAGTCAATTATATCATGATATACAATCATTAAGCTATCTTTCAATTAACATTCAAAATGAAAAGATTATGTATTTACTGAGAAAATTACATATGTATTACAATAACATACAAAGTTTTCACAGGATATTTACTTTAATCAATACTCATTGAGCCACAACATACCAGGACTCACCACTCATTTCAAAATGTTCATCAATCACTACTCTTCTCTGTACAGTATCTCAGGTAATTTCACTATTGAAGATAAACTGGATATTCAAAGATTTCTCTGAACATTTGCTTACAAAGCTGAGATCTACTGTTTCCCATGCTCTAACCCATACTATTCTCTTTCATCTTTCAGAGGAATAACTAAACTACTTCTACACCATTTTGTCACATAGTAAAATATATTTTACAATAGAAAATTAAATTTTGTTATAAATTTACGTAAAATCAATTCAACCGTTACAAACTGCCCTCTTTAAATGCGTACAAGTTATGCTTCCATTCATGTAAAAGTCTTGATAAAATCACACGGGAAAAGGGAGACAACGGAGCACCTTAGCTTTCGTCTTTATTCAAGACATCTTCATGCAAAAGGTTAATTTTGTTTTTGTTTTTTCAGGCTAAATATAACTGTGCTTTGAGGAATGAAGAACAGATAAGCATTGTGACTCCTGATTGGGTGCCTGATTGTCTTGCTGAGGGAATTAAGGTTGATGAAATTGACTATCATCCACGTCTTCTGAAACAGCCAAAGTCACACTCAAATCAGACCCCTGAAGCAAGTACAGTTAGGGAAAGAAAGAAAAAAGATTCTTCCCATCAGAAGATTGAAGACTCAAAGAAAAAAGAAGATCCTAAAAAAAAGGAACCTGAAAAGAAAACACTCTTTGATGCTCTTCAGTTTAGTGATGAAGATGAAGAAAACAGTAAAGGTGGTTCATTGTTAGATCAACTCAAGACCCCTCAAACATGGAAGCAGCCAAGCACTAAACCAACAGTGACAACAAGAGCTTCTGCTGGCTCCAGTGCCACAACCTCTGTCACTCATGACAAGCCCAGAGCTCCACCTACAGCACCTATCTCAGCAACTAATCCACCACAAACTGTAACTGCCCGTTCAGTTACACCTCAGCCAGTCTCTGCCCCAAAAGGATTAGCTCAGGGATCATCACAAGGATTACTTCAGAGTACCACTCAAGTTTTGCCACAAGTTGTAAGCCAAGGAACCTCTCATATAACCCTTCCTGTGGCAACATTGGGGCCTCCTCAAAGTATTAAATCTACAGGTGGATCTTCACAGACTTCTCCAACGATAGTTTCTGTTTCAAACAAAACTCCCCATCAAGATTCACAGACAGATGCTGCCCCCCTTCATAACTCAGCTCAGTTAAGTCAGACTCCAGCACCAGTACCTACAACAGTTACAGAAGCTTCAACTGGAATATCTGCTCAAGGTAAGACTCCAAATTATATTTTCCTTTTACATGAATCTTTTAACAAAGGGCTAACACACCGGTGATTGTTAATTTACTTGCACAATGTGCAGAAGAAAATATATGCCATATCCTTCATGTTGCAGTCATGTCATAGGTTTTAACATAATGACAAATTCCAAGAAAAATTTGGCTGTTCCGAGCATTCGAATGCATTGATGAATGCACGTGGGTGGGTAGGCTCACAGTGCTCATGTGCTACGATTGGCTATTACAGTACTGTATACTCCTGAAGCACTACCCCGTAGATCGCTGTTTCATTATAGTGCTCTGTGGTGTAATGGTCAGTATTCTCACCTCGCAAGCGAGCGGACCCGGATTCGATCCACGGGCAGGGTGAAACTATGGACAAGTTTCTTTAATCCATTTGCCTCTGTCTACCCAGCGGTAATTGGGAACCTGGATGTTAATCGATTTGCGGATCGTATTCCGGGGTAATGGCTAGCCAGTGCAGTTGGCGAGTTGTCCGGACATCTCGGACTATTCCTTGACACTGGGTCATGCAGCTCGTTAACTTAGAGTGTGGTTGTTGTGTTGGTGACATTATCTATACCTTAAACAAATTCACACCAAGGTGGCCCTTGGGTCGGCCATCCTCGTTACACAAGGGGCAACCATTAATATAGCACTCTTGCTTACATCTTGGAGCTCTAGGGGGAGAAAATACATAAAAGCAGTCAAAAGTCACAAGTCCAAACACTGACAACACGCAAAGAGCAGCTCTCTCTGTTATTATGTACTCGGGCAATAAGCACCAAGCGCTCTGTTTCAAATTTGCTGCTCTTACACTGTGTACACATAGCATTCATATTCTGGGACTAAATTAGAATTTTTACCGAAGGGGACATAGCTGGGATACTTAGAAGATTTAGATAGTTGGAATCTGTATGAAATGAATTGCACTGTTAATTAAATAAAGTCTACGACATTGGATTTACCATAACAGTAGAGACTTTCTGCATACAGTGGCTGGCTTGAGATGAATAGGGGAAGTTGTTGGGTGTTACTGGATTAGTACAATAGAACTAAATTTCACCAGGTAGTGCAGAATATTAATTCTGGTGCTCCAGATACTCTGTGGTACAATGTATTGTACTTTCTTTTTACTCTTATTTTTTCGTCCCCTAGGCCCTGTTGTGGGTCGATGACCTGTGCCTGGGTGGGCTATTCCCCGTAAAAAAAGAAAAAAAATGCATCCACGTACTGGGTGGAGTGTGAGGGGGTTGATGGTGCAGCACACACGAGAGAACTAACTAACCACAGAGTGTGTGTACTTGTACACAGCTTGGTCTAAGTCACCAAACTTTGCAGGCTAAATCTTTTTCTGCACTTTTTTGAGCTGCCAGGGTCATCCAAACTTAGAGAGTACTAACTTCCAAATCTTGTCCTGATTCTTTTTTATGTCGTAAAATATGTTGGACTTGATCCCAAACTCCTCACAAACGATATGCATCGATGACCCAGCATCAACTTGGTCTAACACTTTATTCTTCTCCTGAAGACTCAGGGACTTGAGCTTCATGCTCTTCCTGTAGCTCCTTGAAGGTGCAGATGCCATATCAGTGATGCTTGAAGAGGGAGAGGACAAGCAGATGACAAAGTGTGGAGAGACAGCCATCGCTCACCCGACCTCAAAAACAAGAAGTACCAGACTAACCAAGCAGGGAGAACGGTGTGGCGAGCCTTAGTCACCGTTACCTATGTGGCTAAATATGACAAAATTTTCCAAGATAATGTTATATAACTCCGCATTTCCTGGGTTATTTTTTTATTAAATTCCGAGAGCATAGCCGTGCTGAATTATATAAAATTCTGAGTTATTAAATGCCGAGTTATCAAGGGTTTACTGTAGTTTTAAAATGTTGTAGTTGAATAATATTTAATTGTAGAAAAATATTACAACATTGACAGTTCAACATTTTTATTTTTTGTGTGTGTGTGTAAACTTCCACATTATAAATTATCTGAAGGCCCTCCGCGATCCTACTGAGGACCCCAGCGACCAGGTTGGGAACTACTGTGTTAGAGAAATGAATTTAGTACCACAATAATCCCAAATAAATTTTCTATAATACTGTTTTAATAAAAGATCCATAAGAAAATACTTTGACACAATGTAATGATGGAGACTCAATTCTTTTATGAAAAATATGTAAGAAATGTTTATATTGGAGTCAATAAAATTAGTTCTAATTAAGTTAAGAACACCATTTTTTACTGAAATAATCCTGAAGAGTTCATCAAAAAGTTTGTTCAAATAAAAATATCTCTATGATAAGGATGTGCAAAGTGTAAATGGAGCTGTGTCTCACAGCCATGACAGTGGAATTTTCTGCCCTGCACTGGTGAAAGTTTTCCTTGAGTCTAAGCTGCATGTCTCACACGGACAGATACAAGGGCTGTATTTATTTATGCAATCACCACTGTACACTATATGTACAATATAGTGTGAATAAGGTAGAGGGGAATAATATGCCACAGGACGAGAAGCAGCTGCATCCACCACAGCATCAAGCATGCTCATTCCTCTTCTCCCCCATGTGGGTCGGAACCCAGCAAAAAATGACTTTCTGGCCCCGACGGATGCCCTGTGGGACATATTTCCCCTCTACCTGCCTCTGATATGAAGCCAGTAATAAGAGTTGCCATCCACGCGAGTTGGCAAACAAGCATTGGGTGCCTGGGGATATCGGGGAATGTCGCTCCTCCATATTGGCCACACACGGCTGACTAATGATTTTGTTTTTATGGAGATGGCGCCCCCCTCCCCATTGCGATGATTGTCTGGTACCATTGACTGTTCTACACCTTATGGTGGAGTGCCCTTGTACTGAAGGTAAAGTAGAGAGTACGCACTGCCACCAGTTGGTAGCGTGGCCGATTAGGCATTTAACCGTTACTATATTGTTAGGGGAAATCTTTTAAACACCAACTCTAAGTACAGCTATTTATTAGTTAACTCAATGGCATAGACACATTAATATATTGACATTTGACAATGACTCTCAGACACAAACATGAAAGGGAAACACTTCCCACCGTAAGTAACTCACCTTATGGATCGCTCTGACAATTACTCACGTGTATCCTGAGGGAGGCCCAGCGGCTTGGGAATCTGTCTGCAGGTGCTGCTGAAGAGAGTGGTGCTGGACTCTGTCTCTTGTGGGAGACTCTGCTAGCTGGGGACTTGGTGCTGGGGAGGGAAGTCCCCCTCCCGACATTAACATGTGATGAGTGTCACTCCGTGTGCCTCTGTGTTCTGCTTTTGCCTGTGTGACTCGGGAAGGAGCTGTCTGCTCTTTATATTGGCGGTGACAGGCCGGCAGATGTCGTCACTAATCAACACTAATTTGGGTGTGTCAAAACAGCTATGTTTGCTCAGGTGTTTGGTGCGGGCTGGAGTGTAGTTTCTTGAGTTAGCATGGTCATGATGCCGGTTTGACTAATTATGTGGCGGTGAGAACTTAGGTTCATTGTGACCTTGACCTCAACTGGGTCAGGTCTTAATCTCACTTTAATTACGAAGGGGGGTTAACTTACATGGGTGTACACCTGCACATATACTTACTGTTATTTGTGTTGTTCTTCTCTGGGCTGATAAACAATCATTACACCTAGTCTCAGAGACCTTCATCTTAAGCACCTCTCCCAGTGCCGGGAGGATGATGAATCTTACCACCTATGTTTGGTGTTGAGGGGGGGGGGGTAACATGGGAAGGGATGTCCTCTCCTTCATGGAGGAACTTGGCCTTCTACACAAGCTTTGAGTTTTATCTATTAATGTTTAAATGGTTTTTGAAAAGTTCTATGCTATTTATTACTTATGTTTTTTTACCTTGCATTATTTGATTTTAGTATTTTAAGCCTTTATTTTAATTTGGCTACATATGACTTAAGCTGTTGCATTACCAGGGATGTAATTACCTTAATCAGTCAGTTATTGTAAAGAAACAAAATAATGTATACTCCTGCTACTGTACTGTATATACAGTCAGTCCTTGACTTACGATGGGGGTTAGGGACCGACCACCAGGTCGTAAGTCAAATTGGTTCTAAGTCGAAAATGCGAAAATAATACATAGAAAATCTTAAATGGGTGTCTCTTTTTCTTCTCAGCGCCACGAGAACTCTCACTTTTACGCTTGCCAGCCATTTTAAAGGGAATTACAAACGAAAATTTTATCAGTACACAGCGCGATCACTAACCTCGGGACTCGAAGATGCGTAATTTGAAAAATATTTTATATGACTGTGGCGGTTGTATGTCCGGGTGGTCGTATGTCGAGTAGGTCGTAAGTCGAGGAGTACCTGTACTGTACTCACCAGTGGATGATGTCGTCTTTAGCCTACAGTAGGTGTACACTGTCCACTGCTGAATGTAATATGTAACTGTAATAAATTTTTACATCTTAAAAACTTGTGATGGAGGCGAGTTAGGAGATTAGTGGGTCTCATGTTAATTACCTGACCTGATGCAGTGTCAGTATACAAACTCTTCTCTCTTTTGTAGTGGAAGTGTGGTGGGGGATTAATAGGTCTCCAGTGTTTCTCTTTCCCTGTACAGTTCATGGTACTTTCACATTTACTGAATGTACAGTACAGTAGTACAGTATATGTAACTGTAATCAATTTTTGCATGTTAACACTGCTTTAACACTGTATTGTTGACTGAGTGTGTCCTGGTACAGTTATGTACAGTACTGTACTGCACAACACAAATTGTATGCAAAAACAGCAGCTAGTGAGGGAAGACCCTTCTACAATGGCAGTAGAATATGAACTAAGTGTGTAAGCCTGTGGCCTAAGTTACCCAATCAGTTAGGCCACCCATGCGCCTGGCTTATGGGGCCGCATCAGAGCATGATGTAATCTTTCGGAACTCCCAGAAATTTTTTTTTCAGGTCCAGAATGGAAATGATTGGAAAGATTTTCTTGGAATATTTCTGGAAAATATGCCTGATTTTCATCCCAGAAAGTCATTTGCATACCCAAAATGGAGAGAGTTTTCCTAGAATCTTTTTGGCCTGATTTTCATTCTCTCTTGGAGAGTTTACTTTTTTATAAACTTTGTTAATGTTAGCTCTAAGTATCCTTAAATTTGGTAAGATGAAAGAAATGCATAAAATTGGATCAGAACACTGACATCAAAACCCTCTTTGAGTGCATCTCAATTGTTTGAAAATTGTACAATTTTAACAGCTAAATTTCAGATGCCTCAGCTAATTCATATGCATTGTGAAAACAACATTATTAATAATATTTTATTGATACTGTACATATACAGTAAACCCTCAATAACTCGGCACATATGGGGCTCTGGCCTTGCCGAGTTATTCCAAATTCTGACTTACCGAGACACTTTCCCCCTCCTACAAAAATATAACAATATAAAATTATCGACCCATATAATATGTGCACATGTAATTACTAAATGTAGAAAAGTAACACTTACCAGAACTGCAGGTGAAGAATGAAGCATTGTAGTAGGTGACACAGGCATGGTCGGTGACACAGGCATGGTAGGTGACACAGGTGTACGGTAGGTGACACAGAGGTGTATGGTGGGTGACACAAAGGTGTATGGTAGGTGACACAGAGGCATGGTAGGTGACACAGAGGCATGATAGGTGACACAGAGGTGCACGGTAGGTGACACAGAGGCATGGTAGGTGACACAGAGGTGTATGATAGGTGACACAGGTGTATGGTAGGTGACACAGAGGCATGGTGGGTGACACAGGTGCAGTGGGTGACAGGGTGTATGGTAGGTGACACAGAGGTGTATGATGGGTGACACAGGTGTATGGTAGGTGACACAGAGGCATGGTAGGTGACACAGGTGCACGGTAGGTGACAGAGGTGTCCGGCAGGTGACACAGAAGCATGGTAGGTGACACAGAGGTGTATGGTAGGTGACACAGAGGCATGGTAGGTGACAGGTGCACGGTAGGTGACAGAGGTGTCCGGCAGGTGACACAGAAGCATGGTAGGTGACACATAGGTGTATGGTAGGTGACACAGAGGTGCATGGTAGGTGACACAGAGGTGTATGGTAGGTGACACAGAGGCATGGTAGGTGACACAGAGGTATGGTAGGTGACACAGGTGCATGGTAGGTGACACAGGCATGGTAGGTGATGCAGGTGGCCAGATATGGCGAGATTTTCCCAGATAATTTTACATATCTCGGCATTTCCCGAGTTATACCAATACATTCTGAGACCATATCCATGTCGAGTTCTATGAAATTCCAAGTTATCAAATGCTGAGTTATCGAAAGTTTACTGTAGATATAAATCCTGCTATGGCTTGGAAGCCTCACTGTCCTTACCATAATATTCAACATGAAATCTTGCAATGGTTTGCAAGTCATCAACATCACAGGCTCACAGCCATTGCACAAAGGAGACATCTTCGAAAGAAATTAAAATTCAATGGGGTCGTGGCGGGGTGCCTATACCGAGCTGTGATTGGTTGATCCAAAATCATACATACCAAAGAACAACTGCACATGTGAAATACATCACACTAACCAACACACAGGAACTCTCTGGGACGGTGGTAACATTAACAAGGACTTGGGAAAAAATACAGAATAATTTTGAAAATTTAATGTGATTTTCTCTGGAAGTACAGTACAGGTTGACAACACTTCATCTGAAATTCCGAAAACCGAAAAGCTCTAAAAACCGAAAGTTTTTTTGTGAGGCGGCTTTTATTTTTTTATTTTATTTTTTTTTTAAATACAGGGATTAGCCCACCTGGGCACAGATCACTGACCCACATGAGGGCCTGGGCGGCAAAAATGCAATAGTAATAATAATTATAATAATAATGATTATTCATAGTAAATAAAAATTTTAATAAAAATACACCAAAATAAAACAATAATAATAATAATAATAAAATATAATAATAAAATTCATAATAATAATAATAATAATACTGTAATAATAAAATAATAATACAGTAAAGAAATACAAGAATGAAAAAAAGATCAAAAGTGAGAAACACGACCTAGACCTATGAATTATTATTATTATTATTGTTATTATAATTTTTATTATATTTTCGACACCCAGGCCCCAATGTGGGTCAGTGATCTATGCCCGAGTGGCTAATACACATTAAAAAAAAAAAAAAAAAAAAAACCTAACCATTCTGAAAGCCGAAAAATTCCGAAAACCGAAATGCCTCTGGCCCCAAGGATTTCGGATAAAGGATTGTCAACCTGCTACTGTAATCATGAGCGGGGGAAGTGCTATAGAGGGGGGTGTCTTGGGGTTGTCTCGGCTGCTGATTCCAAAACTTGGGATCCTGGGGATGGCTTGATGACCAAAACGATAATAATACCGAAAGGCTTTTCCAATATTTGGTGATGATTAATGTAAATATTTCTTTTTATTTTGAATAGATTTCATCATTTCAATGTTTTTACATTATTTTTGGTTAATTTTTAGTTTCGGTCATCCCAGTATTAAGATATCCAAACTAATTTAGTAGGCAGATATCAAAATGGGAGGTACTATTGCCTGGGAAGATATTGGAAGCATAATGTGTTGTCTAATGGTAGACTCTGCTGCCATATGGCATCACGAAAATTGTGACCAAAGTCCCAGGTTGCTGATCTGACTTTCTGCCTCGTTTACATACAATTCCAGGGTCTCAATTGTTTCTCTTACTTTGACAACACAACATACATACTGTATATGAGGCTATCAGTAACACAGTCGGTCGAGCGCTATGGCAGCCAAAAAGTATTTTATTGTAACAATTTATTCCCCCAAGCCTCTATTTCATGGAGAGCATCTCAGGGTCTGGGAGTGCAAACGGCAATAGGGTCGAAAATCATATTCTTTGGAAAGGTGCGTCAGAGTTTAAAGTTGACGGGAGAGAATAATCTTCAGTTTCAGCAACACACCTGGCTATGTCTCACGTGTGGAGCAGGCCAATGACGCTCCGCGCTCCATACCGCATGGCCGCTCAGCGACCAATCACAGCGCACCACACATTCTATCAGCGCCTGGCACGCTTCGTACCTTGTAAACACGTCTCTGCCCCCCCCTCCCCCCCCTCCACAAATCGTTTTATGCTGCTGATCCGTCGCAACATGAAAGTACTCCTCATTAATATAACTACCTGCACACAAAAAATCATTGCAATATCTTTAATGGTGGGAAAGTTATATCACTCGTTTGAGGGTTTTGTAGTGTGATTTGGTTTTTGCAAGTGGAGAAAAATGCGTTATGTTTTTTGTTTTTGTTTTTTCAAAATCCCATTGATTTTCATTCCTGAAACTATCATAGCATAAAGGAGATGGTTTAAGCTACATAAAAAAAATCGCTAAGATATCTTTAATGGTTCGAAAAATGTGGCATTTTATCACACTTTTAGGATCTCTCAACTTTTAAATACATGTAGACCGTATTAATTGTATATCTTTTATTTAATGTGTGTATGCAATGCTATTTTCTATATTTGTTACTTAGGAAGTAAAACAAATGTTCAACTGAGTGTGTGTGAGTGTGTGTGTGGTACAGTTTTTCAGTAATGTTCACTTCCTCCACTGCATTTACAACATTTTACTTCATATGTTTATTATTGGCTTATAATCATTGTGTACAACAAAATTTTCATTAAAAACATGTTTAGTAGAAATTTAATTTTGTTTAATGTATCTCATCTTTTATAATTGGAATCTATGGGAAGATATGATCCAATTAATGGTAAATTTATTTATGAAAGTTTTTTTATAGGAGTAGAATCCTTTTGTAAATCAGAGACTGGAGACATTTTTAGGTCTATTAATATAAAGTACAATATTATAATTATTGAAAAGGATTGTTTGAACTGTAAGTAAAGAACACTTCAATTTCAGAAATAAAATAAGGTTATTGATTTATCAATTTATTTAAATATTTTCATTTTTAACAGTTACTACTACCCGGCTAACACCATTAACGCCAGCACGTGTATTACCTCCGGCTACTGCTCGTGTTAATCCTCCAAATATGTCCCGAGCTACACCACCGAATACCATCAGGGTTACCCCTCCCAACAATCCTCGGGTAACTCCACCCAACAATTCCCGTGCGACCCCTCCAATTACATCTCGTGCAACCCCACCCATTGTTTCACGGGTAGCAACTCCATTTTCTTCTCGTGCAACTCCTCCTACACCTTCACGAGCAACTCCCCCAGCTAATTCACGTGCAACACCTCCAATAACATCCCGGGCAACTCCACCCATTACTTCACGCGCTACACCTCCAGCAAATGCTCGGGTCACCCCTCCAGTCACTTCTCGTACAACTCCTCCTAATGTAGTTGGAGGAGGACCACGGGTACCTACAATGCCCCTCACTGTGACTGGCCCATCTGTTCGTGCTCCTGGCGCAGTATCACAAGTAGCACCAGGCGGTATACCGACACCTAATATGCCCAGTACTGCTCCACAGCAAGTTCACAGTGTAAGTTTATATACCTTTACCAATCTGTAATGTTTTATTTGTTATGTTTCTCTTCTGTCATGTAGCATTTCTCTTAGTCTTTGATTTTGTTTTTATTAGTTTTCTTAATCAAATGAAGGGCAAAATTTTCTAATGTTTTGATAACCAGCACCTGTATGCATATTTCTCTTGTATGAGGAATTGAATGAGTACAAGTTATAGAAGAACACTGTTACACTTAGTTTATCTCTCATTTTATATAAATATGTTCTGTAATTTTTAACTCATAGTGGTCATAGTGGATAAGGTAACCCAATGCATCACCAAGCCTGTGGGCTGTGTGTCTAGGTTATTTTCCAAAAATCTAATAACAACTAGAACACTAAATATAATATGTTTTCTAGTCCAACCACAGCCCCTAAGAAAGGGTATCTTTGATAAGTCATTTGCCAAAGCTGTAGTGTTTTTGGACATGAGCTCTTTGATTCAAGCAAGCTAGAAAACAGGAAATAGCCTCAGATATATATATATATATATATATATATATATATATATATATATATATATATATATATATATATATATATATATATATATATATATATATATATATATATATATATATATATATATATATATATATGCGTGCGAGCATGCGTGCTTGAGTGCGTGCGTGTGTGTGTGCGTGCAGGGTGGTGAAATTTGTCTAGAGTGGCAGCATTATGTTAGTGTTAAGGTGCAAGCACTGCTTGCTCCCTCTTGCTTTCAGCTACCGTCGCTGGTGAGCCCTCGTGGCGAACAGGGAAGCAACTTGCATAAGTCTTCCCCTGCCAGTACACAGCCTCCTCACCATCAAGACTCCTGCTGTGCCTCCTCGTGGTAACACACGGTAAATGGGTGCCTCGTGGACCCATGCTAGATCAGCAAGGGATCTCGGAATAGTAGTGGACCCCAGAGGGACGGCGCATAGGCCCACTGGCCTGTGGACACGTCCTGGCGCCTACCAATCACCGCCCCGCTGCCTTGCAGATTAACCTTGTCAGGTATAAGGTTACGGGAGTAAACCCCAAACAGAAATTCTGCGGTGGAGCCCCGCATCAGGCAGACAAGCTTACAGAGATCCAACAAGACCCCAACGGCGGTGTAGGCGGAAGAGGTGACCACCGTGGAAATCCAACAACTACACCGGCAGACAATGGTAGTGCCTGATGGACAGGCTACTTAGGCGAAACCCAACAAACTGGGCTATCGGCAGTCCATTGCGACTCTCCCTCTCCCTAATCATTGCAACACTTGCATCACTGGATCAGGAAAAGGGAGAGCCAAGATGTGTGGTTGCAGCCTGCGCTCCTGCCTCACCACATAAATCAACTCACGCGCAGCCATCATCCAGCTCATCATACCTCTCATCATCATCAAAACCCCTATACCCCCAAAAGTCCTATGGCGATGGACGAGTGGCAACGGGGACAGGCAGAGATGACTGCCGGGAGTCTCTAGTCACAACTCTGCACATGGGCGGCACAGATAAGATGGTTGTTTATGCACTGGGATCTAGGCAGCAGTGCAATCCGGTCCTGTCCGTGCGACTGAGCAGCCCTTTCGGGGAGCCACTTTGCTCACCCCACATGGGGAGGGGGCTAGAAAAGGTGCCCTAAACATGCCTGCCTCTGCTGTAGGCCTTAGAACATTTACAAAAGAGTTACAAGGCTATTGTACTTCACAAGCAGCAGATACATAACCTTAATGACCCTGCATACCACAAGGACTCGTCCAGAAAAGCTAAGAACTATTTAATGCTTCTAACCAGTGCTGATGTAATCAAGTACATCCACCTCCTCTTGGATATCTTGAGTTGCCTTGGGTGCCTTTCAGAGTAGTTTCAACACAGACAAACCAATGTTTCTGTTCTCATAGCTCAAATTCAGGCCTCGGTTGACTTACTCAATAAATATTTGACAAGCCCAGGACCCAGTCTGAGGAAGATTTTGGATGGTGACACTACCATATTCCAAGGAGAGGAGCGGAGTGATAGAAATAGCACTTTTATGGCTGCAAGGTATGATATGCTAACATCTCTGATTATAAGTCTAAAGATTTATTGACATGGCCAGTATAGTTCTTCAGAATTCATGGATTCTGGTTTTCAAGCTGTGATCTGCAGAATACACAGGAAATGAAGATTTTGGAGACACCACTGAGGGAGCGCTGGCTCAGTCACTTGAGAAAACACTAAGGGAGGCAGATGGGGATCCAACCAAGCTGGTGGATGAATGGGCTGCACTCAAATGCTATCTCTACAAAATGAGTAAGATATCACCTGTTTCCAAACTGTCCTGGCAGCAAATAAATGAATCATACAGAGAAAAGTGTGGCTCCTTTCTCCATTTAGTTGACCTTCTGCTGTCCATTCCAACCAGTTATGCTGATGCTGAAAGTGGTTTCAGTCAGGTCAAGCTCATTAAGACAGACTGATGCAGTCGTCTCACTGATGGCCACTTGACAGATCTCCTGGTGGTTCAGTTGCAGTCAGAATGTGTTAGCAACTTCAGCAAGCTATCAACAGATTTTTAACAACTGGGGTCCACCATGTCGATGGGTATAACCACACAGATGACTACAGCACAGAGGAAGTGCTGGACAATATCGAAGAAATGGATGAGCAGCATATAGAGAAACTTAATGACGAAATCCAGTGAAGAAGAAAGCCCTCAGTTACTTATAGTTACATATACAGTACATAAGGTACAATAGTTTTTAAGAGGATCTAAAATTTTTTATAAATTTCAGCTAATGATATAAAGTAAACAAGGAAACAAATTATCCATATTATAATATGTTGTGCACGCCAGTGTTTGCAATTTGAATATAATTTATCTTTTGCTATTAAGTTAAATAAAGTGTCAAAGTAAAACAAAATTCTATGTAGGCCTACCCAGTATATGTTAACTTGAAATTTGACTTTAATTTTTCTATTTAATGTCTCATAAAAATTTTGGAAGGGCTAATAACTATTTGGTTCTTTTAACCCGGCTGGCTACCTCAAAAAAGGGTGAATTTCTACCCCTGGTATGTGCGTGTGTGTGTGCGTGTAGATGAAAACACTTAAGTGTGTGTGGATGTGTATTTGTTTGTGTCTATACACAAATTGCAGTCAGATACTCTTATTTATTGCATAAAATGTCTTTTTACATTGAATGGTAACTTTGAAAGGTCAAACATTTTTTACAAGAATTTTTATTTTCTACTTTTCCTTCACATGGGAGTACAGCTATTTTCTTGGTTTCACATCAAAGAGGTTAAGCTGATAATATTTGGCTCTGGCTTATTCTGTAGGTAATGAGCTGTAGGCATGCTACAGATTTATAACTAATCTTCATAAATGTTATTTGTAAAGGTTGCTATTCCGGGAGCAGTTGTCCGTCTCCCTCAAGGTGTAACGCCTCACCAACTACAAATGATGACACCTAATGAGCGACAGGCATTTCTTCATAACCTTCATCAGAAACAACTACAGGAACAACAAGCTCGAGGAAAACCAAGAGCAGGAAAACCTTCTGGTCCACAGGTTAGTTTAATCATATAATTTTATTTCTTCTTTTCCGTGCTGAATGCAGGGTGATCAGAATCAAGAGCAAAACCCACACAATTTTTCCATTAATTTTATAATAAATTCATTCTAACTGCTGTAAAAGATGTATTATTATGTTACTTTTCTTCCACAACATAGCCCCAAAATTAGTGTACACTTCATCTCTTCACACAATCAGTGTTACCCATCAGCAGCACATCCATTCTCATGAACCACTCACCATCATGCTCTACACTGCTGCTTTCTGGATGTTCATCACCCTCAGTTTTAATGCTAATTGTACTCCATTCTTTTGTAATTCTCTTTCTTGGTGCTTCCCTCTCTCTCCTACCACCCACCTCTGAATTGTACACTGTACTGTACCAATCCTTATCTCAATATGACGAGAGCCTTATCTGCACTTGACACAACACTTCTTTCTTTTCCACATTCCATCCTTAAGTCTATATTTTTTATTCTCTGCCACCCACTAGATGTGGCCATGCTGAGGGAAGGAGGCTAGTGGCCTTTGTTGAATAATTGTTCTTGATAATTTAGTCGAGGACTATTTTGAAGCTCATTACTGTACTGTTTTTGATTCCACATCTTGGTCTGGTAGACCATTCCATAGGTTTACCATCCCGTGTGTGAAGAAGTATTTCTTTATTTTGTTCTGCATGATAACTCGGCGAGCTTGTAGTTATGTAGCCTTGTGTTGGTGGTGCTAGACATCGCAAAGAAATGTCCTGGGTTCATGTTTACCATCCTTTTCAGGGTTTTGAATGTTTCAATGAGATTTGCCCTTTTGTGCCTTGTCTGAAGGATTGTTAGTCCTAAGGCCCTCAGCTAACTTGAATAATTGAGATGATATAGTTCCAGAATCATCTTAGTCCTTCTGTGTTGCACCTTTTCTAAGGATGTTAGATCTTTCTGGAGGTAGGGTTTCCATGACTGAATACAGTAATCCAAACTGAGATGTACTTCAGATTTGTACAGTTTGAAGGAGCATTTTCCTATCTTTGTATTCAAAGATACGCTTTATCTTAATGCCTGGATTTTTTCCTTATTGATTTTGTCCAGGAAAGTGTTATCAACAGAATAGTTTTGATGAGGGTTCTTATATCTTTGGTGTAATGATCAGCATGCTCGTTCAGGTAGGGTGAAACTATGGGCAAGTTTTGTTATGCCATTTGCCTCTGTCTTCGCAGCAGTCACTGGGAATTTGGATGTTAATCGATTTGTGGATTGAATTTTCGGGTAAGGGTTAGCCAGTGTAGTTGTCAAGTTGTCTGGTCTTCTAGAACCATTCCTTGACACTGGGTCATGCAACTCGTTAACTTAGGGTGTGGTGGTTGTGTTGGCGACAGCTTCTACACCTTAAACAAATTCAAACATAGGTGATCCTAGGGCTGGTCATCCTCGAATGTTAAAGGACATTTCCCAGTCTCTAGACCATTTGAGCAGCTCATGCAGGTATTTCTGCATTGTTGCAACATTGTCTTCACTTGCTACCTTCCCAAACATCTTTGTGTCGTCCAAAAACAGGGTGGGTTGAAGGATAGAGCCTTGTGATATTCCACTGTTTACTTTTTCCATTAAGAATGTACTCCATTTATTACCACTATTTTTTACCTGTTTTTGAATCAGTTGTTAATCCACTTCTAAATCTTGCCTGTGATGCTTTGTGCTTGGATCTTAGAGACTAGTCATGCATGTGGGGCTTTGTCAAACACCTTGGAGAAATCCATGTACCGTACAACACATCCACAGGTAAGCCTTGGACCACATAGTCTGTTAACGTTTCAAGGAACATGAGTAAGTTTGCTCGGCAGGATTTTCTTTCCTTGAAACCATGTTGTGATACATTGATAAGACTGTGTTTGATCAGGTTTTGGATGATGGCATTCCTCAGAATTTTCTAATTAAGAGTTTGCGTATATGTGATGTTAGGCTGATTAACCTGCAGTTTTCTGTTGCACTTTGATCCAAGTATTTCCTGAGTAAGTGTCTTAGTGGAGTGTAAATTTAGTTTGCTACCTCCTTTACCACTATGGTCTGTGTTCAGTGAACTCCAGGTACTTTGAATTCTTTTAAGCAAGCTAGCGGGTACTTTCTTTTCGATGATATCATCTGTAATTGCTATCTCTCAATTCATTTTTCACCTCTGAAATATACATTCTCTAAAGTACTGGCATGTTATCCTTTGTCTCTTGTGTGAATATTAATGCAAAGCACATAATTCATTTAAGGTATCAGCTGTTTGTCTGTCAGGGCCACGTTGTTTTTGTCCTTTAGATGGCAGACAGTATCCTATAAAGGACGAAAATAACATGGCCTTGAAGGATGACAGACAAACAGCTGACACCTTCCAATATTTCATTTTATAAATTTCTAATATGCTCTTTCCTCTTTCTTCTGGAGTCCATGCTCCACACCCATATAATAATGTTGACTCCACAAATTTCCTGTACTTGACTCTCTTTGCCTACTTAAACTTAGATTTCTTCATCATTTCCCATCCTGTTTATATTATCTACTTTTGTTCTACTGCTCTGGTTCAGTCCATATTTCATCATTCCCTTGTTGACACATATGCCTTCAGATATCAGAGACACTTCTTTTCCTTCATTTTATCTCCATTCAAGCTAGTATTTTTTCTCTTTTTTCCTTCCTCTACTTCTTTTCATGAAATTATTTCACACTCACTCTGTTAGCCAGAACAATTGGTGCAGAGCACTTATGGGAAAAAATCCCTCGTCCCCCGGAATGTTCCGGTGACCGTGAAAATACTACGGTATACACGCAACCCTGGTCTATTTATTCCTCACATTTACTGGTACTACAGGATACAGGTGACCCCGGTCTATTTATTCCTCACATTTACTGGTACTACAGTACAATATACATGTGACCCTGGTCCCTAATAATCTTGGATAATGAGTACATTAGACTGTACTGTATATCGAAAATGTGTAGTGAAAGTTGCCGGCTGAGAACACATCCCCCCCTATTTACATTAAATTTTATGGGGAAAATTGCCCCAATATTCACAGTTTCAAGAATCACAAGGACTTTTAGGAATGCTTCCCTTGTGATAACTGGGGTTTTCCTGTATTAAGATTTTGATGGCTAGGAGAAAACTTAAGATGAATGAAGGCAAAACCGAGATTATCGTCATCCAAGAAAATAGTAGGGGAGGCGGCACAGATGATCTTGGCTCTTTTAAACTTTGGGGAAGTGCAACTTAAGTTTGTAGATTCTGTTCATAATCTTGGAGTGTACTTTGACTCAAAACTGAATTTTAAAGAGCATAATAGATTCTGTTGTTAAGCGTTGCAACTTTCTTAATTGAAATCTATAGTATGCAGTTAATTAGTTTTTGGAAAGACAGTGTCTTGTGACACTATTACATTCATTTATTTTGTCTTGGGTTGACATTTTATGGGTCTGCTCCCCTAATTATCTACTGAAGAGAGTTCAGACATTGTTGAACAGGGTTGCCAGGCTTATTTTTGCCCTCCCACCGAGGACTCCCACGATTCCATTCTTGATTGAATTACATTGGCTTTCAAATAAAGCTAGGATAGGTGTTCAAACTCTGTATAATGACTTTTAAGACACTAATGTTTGGTGAGCTAAGTATTTGGCCAACCTACTAATTCCACTGACTACACATTCTGAAATGATTTTGCATAGTAGTGATGATCCTTCACCCCTTGAGGTGCCTAAAGCAGTACAGGAATGTTCTTTAGGTACTCGATCCTTTTACTATGGAGTAACTAGATTGTGTAATCGGTTATCTGCATCCATGAAGCAGCTGACTTCTGTGGAGGCCTTTAAGAAACAACTTAGACCTTTCTCTTTTTTTAAATAACAATCCTGAATAGGGTACTGTGGTGGAGAAGTACAAGGTTTAGGAAGTATTAAAGCTTAAGGGTACAGTATAGGAGTGATACAAGTCAAACTATCAATTTTTGTGATCTTTTATTGTAGTACAGTACATATTGTATTTCTGTTTTATTCTCAAGTCTTTTATTTTGTAGTGTTTTGTACGTTAGTGAATTCTTTAGAACAACTGGCACTTTTGAGAAACAAAAGACCAGCTATTATTATTATTATTATTATTATTATTATTATTATTATTATTATTATTATTATTATTATTAATACCAGGTGTTTATAACATTTCCTGTTTTACATTTGTTCAAAATGATGCCAGGCTCTCATACAGACTTATGGGTGCTTATAATGATGTCAAGTAACTCAAGATGTTCAAAGTGAATCCAGGTGTTTCACAGGTGCTAACAATTACTCCAGGTGTTTCACAGGTGCTCACAATTACTCCAGGTGTTTCACAGGTGCTCACAATTACTACAGGTGTTTCACAGGTGCTCACAATTACTCTGGGTGTTTCACAGGTGCTCACAATTACTCCATATTGGTCACAGATGCTCATTCTAAGTGACTCATAGGTGCTCATAATGTTGCCAAGCACAGTAACTCCTGATGCAAATAAGTTGAGCAGGAGAGGTGTTGGTGCAGTAATTTGTTCAAATGAATGACAGTTCTACTTGTATCTTGTTCTTGTGGCTCGTAGGTGTGGCTGACAACTATGGATGAGTGTGATCTCTAGAAACTGACTGTTACTCAGCCTGATATACTGACAACTTTGTGATGGAAACCCTCTTGGGGAACCTTAGCTATATGTCATATCTTATTTTCTTGTTGCTGTATTCTGTATGGATTACCTCACCTGCTAAATTAGTCCTCATCAGTTAACTTTGTAACATTACAAACAGTAAACAGTGTCTAGCAATATTTAGCATATCTGTAACTGAAAACAAACTAGTTGATTGAAGTTATTTTTCAATTGAATAATGCAATCATTGAAATGAAAATTTATTTGATACCAAAACACATGTTTTTCACTTGCAGTATAAACAGGGTGTACGTTATGTTGCACCTGGCATGCACACTGCTCCTACCCCTGGAACTCCTCCTACACCAGGAACACCAGTTTCAACTTGGCCAGGTCCCAGTCAAGGCACTCCTGGTGTTCGACCCACCATGACCACTGTTGGTCCTGGAACTGTTGCAGTAGCATACCCTGCTGGCCAACTGCGAGCACAAGCCCCAGGAGCTCCTCCAGTAGCCTCATCTGGAACCCAAGGGGAAGGTGTACAACCTGGCTGGGCTGGTCAGGGTCAGCAACAATACCAAGGGCAACCTGCTCCTGGTACCCGAGTGGTCGTTGGGCAAGCCAGCTGGCAACAACAACCACAACAACAACCGGGACTCAGACCACAAGCTCCAGCAGGTCCTGGCCAGCAGCCACCACCTCAAGGCCTACTACCTCAACACATGCAACAATTCCAGCTGCAAATACAACAGCTGTGTCAACACTTCCCACACTTAACTCACCAGGATGCTTCTCAACTTATTCAACGTATACCTGCACATTTTCGACACATTCAGCAACTTGATAATGCACAGCGTAGTGATTATTTAGCTCAGTTAGACTCCAAAGAGAGACAGGTTGTCACATATTTTATAGTGAAAAAACAACAGCAGCAACTATTTCAACGTCAACAACTTCTACAGCAACAGCATCAACAGCAACAGAAAGTTGGAACACCACAGCAATCACCACATGCTTGGCAACAACAGCAACAGCCTGGACAACAGCCTGGGCAACAACAGAATGTACAAGGGGCTCAGTATCCTCCAATGTCTCCACATGGAAGACCAATACCAGGTCGTACTTTGCCCCAGGGATATCCTGGTTGTCAGCCAGCTGGTGTAGTTTCTCCGGGTCAAGGGTCTCCTCACATGGTGGCTAGTGGCCAGCTGACTCCACAACAGCAGTTAACCCCACATGTATCACCTCTTGCTTCCCCTCATGGTCATTCACCCATCCAGCGTGGTGATGGACCACTAATAGGTCATGCAGGACCCATGCAGAGTTCTCCTGTTCCCCAGAACCTGGTTAATCAACAAAACTTAGTTAACCCCAAAACAAAGACGGCTTTGGCCATTCACCTTACCAATAGATTGGCGAGTGGAGTTCACCAAGGAGGAGTCCTACCCCCAGGTCCCCAGGCTCCCCAGGGACCAATGGAAGTTCCTGCACATGTTGTACCAAAACCTAGCATACTTCAGGAGACCGTTCAAGGTAGAGTTGTTATTGGTATAAGATTTATATTACAATGTGATGACTTAATTACTTAAGTATATTCTTTGCCCTGTGACTCTCATCTAGAATATAGTGAATTTTTAGTTTATTTGGAATCATTTTTATGGTTTGGTCTTACTCTAGAGGCACTAAACATTAAAAGTACAGGCTGACCTTACAAATTCGTGCTAATTGGTATCCCATCCTGGTCGAATTTCCGAAAGGCACGGATTTGTGGGGAAAATTTGCTAATCATTTGCTAAAAAACTAAATCTAATTGTACAACATAAATCTTTATTGTTTCAAACTTACACTCCAATGCCATAATTATTGGATAGTTCTTTATTACTTATTCACTCTTTATAAATTATATTATTCAGAGTTAAACGATTTAGTGAGCACAAGGTTAGCTTAACCCTTTTGCTGCGTCTGTATCGTATACGATACAGTAACATTTTTCCTGATTACTGTGGCTGTATCATATACGATCATGTGGTTTAAAATTGGCGCGCGTGCCTGATGAGGAAAAATTCCGTCTGATTAATGACATCACCTTGGCTTAATTAGTCCGGTACTCAGGGTTTTTATTGTATTTTCTTTATTTTTAAGCCACATCAGAGTATTGTAATGACGGCGCACTTGGAGCACACAATCAGCAGCTTTTCCGACTTCCCTCCCAAGTTCTTCCCAGTAAGTAAGGGTTTTAAACATTTTTGATCATTAAACTAAAATATCGCTAAGTGAATGAACGTTAAATGAGGGATACCGGAATTTTCTTTATTTCTAAGCCATATTGTTTTGTATATAAAGTGGGATAGGTATTGAAGAAGTCCATTTTTCTGCTAATTCATGCATCTTCATAAACATTTAAATTTCAAAGCAATTTATTTTCTTTTTTCTCAAACGAGCACGAACAACCAAAAAAAAAACACGGTAATTGTGGAACATTCATGAAAATACAGTACATGGATTTGTGGAAAACGGACTTCTGAGACATGAATTTGCAAGGTCAGCCGGTTATAATCGTAATGGTGGTGAGGATAATTAGTAATAATGGTAAAGGTACTTTTCTTCAATGCATAATGTACTTGTATTTGTTGCATAGTCTACATTCCACACCATTTCAGGCCCTGGAGGTGAGCCAGTAATGCTGTATCAGCGTCGGGCACTAGGGAATATTACAGGCTCAGTGACCAACAATCTTGTTCGTCCTCCTGTGCAAGCAACACCTGCTGGAGTGGTGGCAGGCCATGGTTATCCCCGGCCAGCAGCACCTGCTCACCCTTCTGTACCAGCACCAGTTATGGCTCCTGCTGCGCCACATTATCCACGTCCACACCTAGTTGGCCATGATACAAATATCATGTGTAAGTTGTTTTAAAATGTTAACTTCTCAGTAATTGTGTGATTGCAAATGTAAACATAAGTGAAAAGGAGTTAATAAATTGTTTTAGTTTTTAGTAATCATATTAACTGTAAAGCTTATTAAGTGCTTACACCATTAGTGGGATGCTCAGCTGATTGATGACAAATATTCCTCTGGTTCCACGGGTTGCAAGTTTAAATTTACAGTTAAGAAAGTGAAGGAAATCGAGCACAGTGCTGAACACACTGCCTCCATGTGTACTGTATCAATTCTGTTCCAAGTGGACCATCAGACCTACTGTACAGTATGGGACCCACTCTCACTTTCATTGTTCATTGTAGGCATTTGTACCTTCATCTCTGAAATAAAAAATTAGAAGTAAAAATTTTTAAGTACTGTACAGTACTGTATTGATAAACCACAAAGTTAAAAGATAAAAACCCTTTCACATATGTTTGACCAGAACTGCATGACTAGTTCTGTTTACACTCATCTTCATCCCATTACTCATTATTCAGCCTCATCCACACCTGGGTTTGTGTAATACATAAGCATAAATGATGGTAATAAGAAAGTAGATTTTATGATCAATAGGTTATGCTGATGGCTCATGGTATGAGGTCACTAGCTAGCATGATGGAGCAAAATGGTGGTTACTACTGATAACATTCTCTGCAGCCAAACTTGGTGTGTCAGTTTTAACAGAAAAGGCTCTCCAAGTAATATACTGCACATGTTTCCATTAAACTCAACAAGTCTGCTGGACCCAAACAATCCTTTTTTTGACATGATCCTTTATCTTTATTTCTCTATGGAAGCTTTTTATGTTGACTCTTTTATTTGAAAATTTTGGGTAACTGAAAAAATTCTCAATGACAGAAATCATTCAATTTAAAAAGAAGTCCCTTACCTGATGCTCTGGGTATGCAGTGAGCCCCATTTGTTGAAGTGGTGCAGTAAGGTTCAAATACATATACAGTACTGGTACAATCCAAAGTGTCTTTGGTGCAATTTTCTATATTTGTATGACTTGAAAAATGCCTATTAGTGAAAATTCATAGCACGAAATGAAAAAATTCCATTAATTTACTGATTTCTTATGTGTGAAAATACATGTAGCTGGAGTGCATATGGTGCTATTTTTAGTACTTGTTGTCTGAGAACCTCTGAAATTGCTCAATTTATGATTTTCTAAGAGGAATAATACTTTGTTTATTGTACTGTACTACTTTTTTATTTCACTAAGGACATTAATGAATATAGAGATATAAGAATACAGTATAAGATATGCTTTAACCCGCTGTTTAAAAATTAATATACCCGTAACTATAGTGCCCCGGGAACTGTGCTTGGTTGGCTGCGTGTTCTATATTGCGGATTACCATGGGGAGGTCACACTCGAGACTCTGCACTCTTGGAAGAGAGTCATACAGCAGCATGGTGGCGAGGTAAGTACTGTGGTAATTAAGTTCTTGTCTATGCTTGTCCATCAGAGAAATATTGTACATGCACACTGTACAGTGCTATGAAAGTCTCCCCAGAGGTTTTATAATTGGTATTGTATACATGTATTGTAATGCACTTGTATACTTGATTTATTGTAAATTGGATTGTAACTACTTGACAAGAGATATTAACAGCCACTCAGCAACACCAGTTGGATGAATGGACAAGCTGTCACACATCACCACCATTCAGCCAATCATCATGTGGGAGGTGCCTCATCTCTCTACCACAGGCCAATCAGTGACCAGACTGATTCCACAGCTCCTTGTCCAGCCACTTGTCATGTTATTGCATAATTCACTTTATACCAACTCTTTATTAGGCAAGCCATGGGTCTGGAATCTGCACTGATATGGAGAGTCCCTTGTGGAGAAACAAATCCTTTGCTCATTCATTGTTACTGCAAATGCTTCTTGAGGGATTGAGTGATTGATTGTGGTAATTACATCCCTGGTGACGCAACACCTAAGGCCATATGTCTCCGAATTAAAATAAAGCTTAAAAGACTAAAATCAAAGAATTAAAAGTAAAAAAACAAACGTAAGTAACAAATAACAGAGAACTTAAGTAAAAAAAACATTTAAACATTACGGGGGGGGGGATAGATAAAACTCGAAGCTCATGTAGAAGGTCGAATTCCTCCACGAAGGAGAGTACATCCCCTCCCATGCTACCCACTCCCTCTCCCAGCACCAAAGAGAGATGGTAAGACCCGTCTCCCTCTTGGCACTGGGAGAGGTGCTTAATACGGAGATCTCTGAGACTGGGCACTCCACCAGGAGTTGTCAAACAGTCAATGGAACCAGGCAGTTATCACAATGAGGAGGGTTTGCCCTCTCCATTGAAAAGCCTCAAGTCAGCCTTGTGTGGTCAATACAGAGGTGGGCCAAAGCAGTCTTCTGGTGGCGTGACAGTCCCAGATATCCCCAGGCACCCAATGCAGGGTGGATGTCGCAGAGCTTGTTTTTTCTGACAGCATCCCACCTGCGTTGCCAACTCAAGCAGATGGCAGCTCTTATTACTGGCTTCATATCAGAGGCAGGTAGAGAGTAATGATGTCCCACAGGACGAGAAGTAGGTTGCTTTTGCCACTGTATCAGCATGCTCATTCCCCTTCTCCCCCACGGGCCATAACCCAGCAAAAACTGATTTTCCGGCCCCAACATTGGATGAGAAACAGCCACTGTAAAATATCTATAACTAAGAGATGGGGCAATGAGACAGTAGCTAAGGACTGGAGAGCACTACGAGAACCACGAAGAATTGTTTACCGGTAATCAGTATGAGGTTGGGTAAAATAATCTTGAGGGCAAGAAAAAAATACCCGACAGCTCTGCAGTAAAAATGGGGAGACTCGTCCTGACAGAATTCGGGAAAGACCACCCTAAATACCCATACCTGCATCCGACTGAGAGCTATCGGTAAAAACAAGGATAGTCCCTCTATGAGAGGAGGCATGCTCAAAAAAAAGAGAATAAACCACACAGGGAGGGATTCAATCCTTCCATTCATTAAAATATTGACAAACTTGAACTTCAGGGAGAATCCACAGAGCAGCACTCGGGAACTGCATGGGGCATATCTGAACAGGAGGAAGACAAACTATACTCGCAACCTCTCTTACCAGGAAGCCGATAGGTCGTGGGAGGCTTGGATGCTGAGTGTAGTGTGGGGACATAATCTCATTAATTACACAAGTGTTCGTTGCAGACTGTGGATGGTGGTGGAGGCGAAACCAATACTGGGCATATCCCAGAACCCCCAAATCTTTTGTCCGAATCTTCCGAAATCCAGATTTACAGGGTCCGAATGTTCGAGGGTTCACTGTGTATATATATATATATATATATATATATATATAGGTCATCATGTTTTTAAGGTCACCCTGTATATTTAAGCTCTCTCTGTCCATGTAATCCAGTTGCCTCTGAAGATGTCTTGAATAAAGACGAAGCTAAGGTGCTCCGTTGTTTCCTTTTCCGTGTGATTTTATCAAGATTTATCTTATCCACGCTTTCATTGTGGATCTACATATATATATATATATATATATATATATATATATATATATATATATATATATATATATATATATATATATATATATTTATTATTATTATTATTATTATTATTATTATTATTATTATTATTATTATTATTATTATTATTATTATTATTATTATTATTATTATTATTATTATTATTATTATTATTATCTCTTTTTTTATCATCAGGTAATGCCCCTCTATGATTCTGCCCGGGTCACTCATTTGCTCTGCAAGCATCAAAAATCACCGGTGTTCATGCAAGCTGTTCGTGAAAACAAACGTTGTATAACTATATTCTGGCTTAATGATGTTCTTATGAGGGGTAAGATGGCTCCACCCTGGCAAGCTATACACCTTCCCACACCATTTGGGTAAGCCATTAATATTTGTGTGTGTTGTAATATATTTGCTTTATTATGATAAATAGTGATTTGGTAATTTGCTCCATTAAATGTTAATTTTACTGTATACTTTTCCCAGAAATGACAACAAACCATGTAAAGATTTGATTGTCAGTGTCAGTGGATTTGAAAATGAAGAGAGGACCATCATCAAGTTAATGTTGCAGCTTGTTGGAGCAAAATATACTGGATACTTCTCTAGACATAATAGCCTTCTTGTTTGTAAAAAGTAAGTTGATTTTGTACATTGAGCATATGTTGACCCAACCTATCCGGCAACCTTGGGACCCGGGTAGAAATTCCCGTTAAGTGGAAGGTTGATAATTAAGGGTTTAGCCTTATGTCTTGTAACCAGAGTTGTAAAAAGTACTGGACTGTTACTTAAGTAAAAGTATTGTTGCATTGGCAAAATTTTACTCGCGTAGAAGTAAAAATATCCAAATGTCAATGTACTCAAGTAGAAGTAACAAAGTATCTCATTCTTAAAATACTCAAGTACTGAAAGAAAAAAGTAACAGCAAAATTATTTGTCTCAGATATTAAAATAAATGCACAGTAAATTAAAAAATATATATATAATTAATTGAAGATATAAGTAAAAGACACACAGCATTACACATGTTTATTTGCAAATCTTTGTATTAAGATTAATCAATAACTGATTCCCAAAATTATGATTGTCCAGTCACGATCTTTTTGGCCTAAATACTGTATAGGCCCAGCATGACCTACTGAAAGAGAATACGTTCAGCCGCTCTTCTCCCTACAGTCCATCATAGGGATAGTGGACTTATGGTCCACAGACATAATGTTGTCTCTGCTCGCATTATGTTAGGATGTAGACCGATCTAGCATGTATCTGAGGCAGGGATGACTTGCACAGCTCTTTCTGTAAACTCTGTAACTGTCCCAATGCTAACACCCTTCAACACTACTCTATTGCCTTGACTGTCCCACTGTTAGGGACCTCCTACCACAGGGGAGTCACTAACCACTATATGTCACCAACAACTTATTCATATTAATTTAGTTTAATTCTTGTACGCTACCCACGCTCTGGTGGATGCCAACTCTCATTGACCTAAAATCATATCAATATTGTGTTCTTATCACAAGTTATAGTATATCCTGCAAGACACAAGTACCAATGTATTAGTGTCTGACCGCATGGTCTTGTGACTAAACTTGTCACCCTCTGGGGTGTAATAAATTTATTTAATAATAAATAAAAAGGCCAGCATGACTTAATATATGCTCACAAGCAGCAGATGCAGATAGTGGTGAGTTAAGCTTCAGAGAAAAGTCACATAATGTAATGTCGGGAAAGACCTCTGTAGCTCCATTCCATCCGCTGGACATTCCATCCGCTGGACATTCCAAGTAGCTATAAAGCTCCTTCAGTTGAGGAGTTTGTGGATGATTGTTGTCTCCATAGTGACTGAGTCTGACTAAGACTCCCCGTGAACTGTCCATCTAATTGGGGGTGTGGCTGTGGTGACGTCACTTTTCGATTCTAATTGATGAGTGGCTGAATTTTTCACGCCATGTAACATTTGGCAGGTGCTATTTAATTAGTTAAGCAGAATTTTAAATACACCTAATCTCACACATACATATAGATATTAAAATGCTTTACATAATTCCATTTTAGAGGGAATTATGTAAAGCATTTTAGAATCACAGCCTCTTTGAAATTAATTTTAGGTACAGGGATATGCAAAGAACGACTGACGTCTGATGGAAAGGTGGGGGAGAAGAGAGGGAATTTGATGGGGGAGGGGGGATCTGAGGGTAGGCTAGGTGAGGTGGGTGGTCATGGCCACTGCCACCTGACCTGACTTGACTTCACCTCACGAGACCTCTAGGTATGTGACCGCATGGTTTCTCCCCACACCATACTCTTCATGGTTCTATCCACACAACTCTTTTACTATGGCTAATAATTAAATAATTAATTAAAAATATATTCTTAGTTTGCCACAGACATTAGAACTCTTTGTTTGTTTGTTTGGGGACATTTAGCGATTTTTGTTTTTTCAATTATATTGGGGTAAAAGTATTAGAAAATCATACTTGAGTTAAAGTGAAAGTACTAAAAAAATTTTGTACTTTTTAAAAAGTAGATACCCAAAAATGTTATGCGAGTACAGTACTCAAGAAAATTTATTTTGTTACTTTACAACTCTGCTTGTGGTGCCACGCCACACAGATACTGTATAAATAATACACAGATTGCAAAACTTTTCCTAATTTATTGATGAACAAACTAGTTCCAAACTTCTACAGTATCAATGACTAAGCATGAATTTCTGCTTTTAATATACACTGACTAAATATGTAACTGCAGTAAAAAAAACATAATTTGTATACCGTATACTTTACAGTACTTTAATTTTTGTAATATTTGAAAAAATCAGATTATGAGATACATTTATGAATATATATGATGCACATGTTGCTAGCTGTCATGGGATGCGACCATCACATGTGTTGATCACGGTCAGCTCGCATTGGTCATTTGTGGCGTGCACGTGTACTGTCTACTGCGCAAGATTTTTCCATTTATTTAGTTATCTGTTTGTGCCTGAAAGGTATTATAGTTAGCCACTAAACAAGCAGGGACAGAATGATAGTGGTGGTGATAGACAACCCTCGCATATACAGTGCAGTAGTTGTGTTAGAAGAAGCTCTTTATCTCCTGGTGGGACCCCAACCATGCTTAATGCTTAACCGTCCAAGTGAACTGCCCCTCAAGCTCGGTAAAATGATCGTCTACTGTATTCTCTTATTGGTTTTTCACCAATCTAAAGGATTTCTATTAGGTGCTTGCAATTGTAATATGTGATATCTGTCCATTTCAGCTCTGACAGTTAAAGTCTTTATACAATGTTTTTACTCTTAGTAAAACTCCTTGGAATTGATTTTGGTTCTATAGACTGTGAACAATCACTATCAACCTCATTCAATAACTGGACTAAGCAGTTATCAGAATGAAAGTCATCAATTTGCACAAGAGTCTTTAGGCTCTGCACTTCAGTTTCACTGTAATGTGCACTGGTATACTCATACTCTTCCTCTTCTCAAGACCATTGCCCTCTGCAGATTAACTTCACTCATTTTAGACATTTCATCACCTTCAGTTTGATACAGGGTACTGTATCCTTGTATCTTGGATCAAGATATGTTGCCAGTATTGGATTGTTGTCATCAAGATATCTATGAAATCTGTTCTCCATTGATGCCTTGATGGTAGTAAGAATAATACCTAACCCAGACAAGCATCTGCTGATGCTTTTGCTATGAACATTTGAAGAAGCTTGATTTGGGGGATTATCTCTGAAACAGTGCATGATCTTTCACTTAACTGAATAGTGGTCTTGTGGAAAATTTTCAAAAGAGTAGAGAGCTTCCCAATCAGGTTCCATTTGTTTGCATCAAACACAGGGAGGTTGGGGGCATCAAGGAAGTACTTTGCAATGACATTTTTTTGCTTCAAATATATGCTCTAACGTGAAATACGTGCTGTTCCAGTGAGTGGGGACATCTTGTATTGATATTGTACATTGAACAAAGGTAGAATGTATTTATTGACCCAAAATATTTAATATGTGTTCAGAGAATATGTGATTGCTAGTTGCATTCCAGAGCAGTTCACTTATGGTAAGATCTGCCATATGTGTAAATATGGAAATGCATAGTTTTGGCTACCAGAGACGTAAATTAAAGAAATAATATTATGAAAGTATCGGTAGTACTGGCTGAAAAATGGGCGATAGCGATACATTGGTACATCCCTAATAAAAATTACCCTGTAACTATAATATTGTACAAATGAAAGGTGTGTTTATCATCTCCATCTCACAGAGTTTCGTTTGATAACCCTCTAGACTTGAGGCTGAAGTCAGCTTTGGCTTCAAAGCCACAGGCCTGGATATGGACTTTCATCTCTTCACAGAAACAGACCATATTGCCCTCCACCACTATGTCTCTCCTCCTCCTGCCCTCCACCACTACTGTCTCTCCTCCTCCTGCCCTCCACCACTATGTCTCTCCTCCTCCTGCCCTCCACCACTACTGTCTCTCCTCCTCCTGCCCTCCACCACTACTGTCTCTCCTCCTCCTGCCCTCACCACTACTGTCTCCTCCTCCTGCCCTCCACCACTATGTCTCTCCTCCTCCTGCCTCCACCACTACTGTCTCTCCTCCTGCCTCCACCACTATGTCTCTCCTCCTCCTGCCTCCACCACTATGTCCTCCTCCTCCTGCCTCCACCACTACTGTCTCTCCTCCTCCTGCCTCCACCACTATGTCTCTCCTCCTCCTGCCCTCCACCACTACCACCACTGTCTCCTCCTCCTGCCCTCCACCACCACTGTCTCTCCTCCTCCTGCCCTCCACCACTGTCTCCTGCCTCACCACTACTGTCTCCTCCTGCCTCCACCACTACTGTCTCTCCTCCTCCTGCCCTCACCACTACTGTCTCCTCTCCTGCCCTCCACCACTACTGCCTCCTCTGTGTCTCCTCCTCTTGCCTCCACCACTACTGTCTCCTCCTCCTGCCCTCACCATTACTGTCCTCCTCCTGCCCTCACCACTACTGTCTCTCCTCCTGCCCTCCACCACTACTGTCTCTCCTCCTCATGCCCTCCACCACTACTGCCTCTCCTCCTCATGCCCTCCACCACTACTCCTCCTCTTGCCCTCCACCACTACTGTCTCTCCTGCCCTCCACCACTACTGTCTCTCCTCCTCCTGCCCTCACCACTACTGTCTCTTCTCCTGCCCTCCACCACTACTGTCTCTCCTCCTCTTGCCCTCCACCACTTCTGTCTCTTCTGCCCTCCACCACTACTGTCTCTCCTCCTCCTGCCCTCACCACTACTGTCTCTTCTCCTGCCCTCCACCACTACTGTCTCTCCTCCTCTTGCCCTCCCCCAATACTCCTCATATTGTCCTTATACATAGTGTGAATCATAAAGTATTATGTGTAAAAAAAAATTGACTATAACAAGAAAATATTAATGAGGAACTTAAGTATATTGAATTCAGGAATAAGGTTAAGAAATGAAGAAATATTATCGTGGAAGAATAGTGTAGTCTTAGAATGTGTGGCTCGCTACCTGATTTGGAGCCATATAAAGATTCCAATTGTTGGTACAGTGAGTTCTGCTATAACGCGAATTTGCTCTAACGCGATTTATGAATTAGGAACGATATTTGTATAACGCGAACGCTTGTTTGCTATAACGCGATTTTTGCTTACTATTTCTCCAATTTTGTGGTACAGTGGGGTATGCTATAACGAATCTAATTGGTTCTAGAACCCTGTTCGTTATAGCATTCGTTCGTTATAGGATTAATCCGTTCCAGGCCCCCAAATACAACCACTTAACACTGAAAAATATAATATAAAATTGTAAAAATTGTAAAAAAGTGCATAAATATGCATCTAAACCCCTGAAATAAAGAATAACATTAATATTTGTAATAAAAAAACAATAAATTAGACAAAAAAAAAAATTTAAATAATGTTCGTTGTAGGAGTTTCGTTCGTTATAGCATTCTCAATTTTATAGGTAAAACCGTTTGTTATAGGAATATTCGTAGTAGGATCAGTTCATTATAGCATACCCCACTGTATTAACTGTGAATATAGTAAAGAAGAATATCAACAAGAAGCATTCTGGTGATAGAATTCCCGGTGATGATCGTAAAAGAAAGGATATAACACTTGAAGAGAAGCTCGATTTTATCAACCTCAAAATCACCCTTCTCCCCCATCAAGTAAAGTGTTACATTTACTGTATGATTTCATTATTAGATATGAATGTAACATTTATTTAGACTGTGCTATCCTTTGTGTTAGGCTAACTACTAAATTTTTTCGATTTCGAGTAATCTGCACCTAACCCTATTTTCTCCATAAGCCCTGTTATTTCTATTACGCGATTTTCTATAACACGATATTTTACAAGAACACAATTATCGCGTTATAGCAGAACTACCTGTGTTAGCAGAAGGGGTAATACTGTGGTTGTATTGCTTCTCTTTTGACAATACTTTCTCAAGGAATTAAAACCAATCTGTCACCCACATTTATTATACCTGGAATATAGGTATTGTATATGAATTGGACTAAAAAATTGAAGTTTATTCGACATTTTTTTTTCTAAGTTTATTTTAAGAATTTTTGTAACGGAAAATTTTTTGCCCTTACAGATTAGAAGGACCCAAAGTAGCTAAAGCACGAGAATGGAAACGTCCAGTTGTAAATGGTGTTTGGCTGAGTGAGGTATTGTTGGGTCAGAATACTCCTCCACTTGTTTATCATGGTACTCGGTATCAGCACTATCTGGATGATCCACTACGAATTGACCCATCATTAGCATCACATCTTTTCAGTAAGTCTTCTTTTTTTTTTATAAAGTACAATTTGGGTGGTTGAAGAGAAGAAGAAAAAAGTACAATTTGGGTGGTACAGTTATACAGGTAACCCTTGTCTAACGATCATTCACTTAGTGATTTTTTGGTTAAGTGATATATTATTTTTAACACCCTTTTTGTTTAAAGATTGGTCAAAATTCGGTTTAGCGATGTTCTAGTCTGGGAAATTGTGGGGATTCTGTGCTCCAAGTGTGCATCATTACTATACAAGTACTGTACTCTTTTTAGAAATAAAGAACATATAATATAAAATTATGAAATAAGAACAATGAAAATAATGGGTGGGAAGTGAACATTTGTATTGAGGCAGTGAGATGTTACTGCAGCCAGCCGCACTCTCCATTCCCCCTAAGTGACATCACGGCATGTACAGCTAGCAGTTTCGCACATAATCTTTTGAGTCAGCTGGGTGACTGCCCGGCTGAACTGTGTTGCATGTATATTGACAATCATTTCACTACACAAAGGACACGAAGCAGAGAACAGCTGAGATTTTCCACTCCGTTCCCCCCTCCCCTTTCCCCTTCCCCACTCTGTGCACTAACTCCTGCACACATAAGACATGCTTATTCCCTTTATGTTTTTTACCTTATGTTAATTATTTCTTTTATATTATTAATTTTATAGGATATATATTTTTTTGCACATTCTGTATGAACGATTGTGTGTGCATGTAACAGAGTACAAAAAACAACAAAGATGTATTTATAGCACTGTACTGTATAGGTACCCAAAATTACAAATTCAAAAATTACCATAACATAATTCACAGCTCAGTCTCACAGTGCTACTGGGTGGCAAGTTGGTGTCTCGGCAACATAGTTACAGTCCACTGCCTCCATGAGCTCGCACATGTGATCACTTGCCACGTAAACACACCCATGCTCTTAATTTTTCATTTTTTATAATTTTATTTATATTTTCTTTATTTCTAAGTCACATTAGAATATTGTAATGATTACTGTATATACAGTACTGTACAGTGTACCGGCGTATAAGATGACCCCAAAATTTTAAATTTAAATTTTAGCCTATACTCACTGCATAAAACGACCACTATTGAGGCTAATGAATCCAAGGATTCCCAGTTGCTGTCTCCAGTAGGCTAAATTCTACCTAACCCAACTCCAGAATTAAAAGTATGTTATTGCTTATTTAAACACATTATTATTTTTAATTAATATTGTTTTTAATTAATTAAAAAATGATTATTATAAATATAAAAGCTGGATTTATATCTACTGTACTGATGATGAAAACCCAAGATAATTAACATCTCTGTAAAGAAGTACAGTACAGTAAACCCTCTGTAAAGAAGTACAATCCAGTACAGTACCTGTACAGTAAACCCTCTGGTTACTGTACCAAAAAGTTAATTTCTGTTTTTTTGCTGGAAAAGATAGATAATCATGTCTAAAATCATGTGAAATGGTTAGAAAGTGGTCAAGTTTCACGTTGGCTGAATCACAGGAATTGTTGTGTAGTGTCTGTTTGTTGATTGTTGTCTAAAAGGTCTAAAAAATCCCTTTATTGTACTCATACTAGACAAGGTTCTACATTTAAGAATATTTTCACTACTTTATTGCAAGGAATTTGTCCCATTAGTTCAGTTCCTTAAATTGCTGAACATTAATGTTGATTTTAAGTAAGACTCTACTCTTACTAGTGTGTTAATTAAGAACAGCCCAACCTTGAATGTAAATGGAAATGTTTACTGTACAGTATAGTCTCGATTTATGCGGATTTCCTTTATGCTGTTGGTCATTTACCTGGCCAGACCGGCAATTATTAGTTACGCGGTACATTCCATCATTTACGCGGGAAGCGGCGCGGGCAGGGTGCGCGCTAGGTCGCCCAGTCAACAAAACATTACCGAGTTCTTCACCCGCCACCCACCACAGCCAGCTCAAGTCAGTGATAGTGAGGATATGGACTTTGAGGGGTTTGACAAAGAGGCCCTGCAAGCCTCTGTGGTGGATAGTGATACAAGTGATACAGGTGAGGGCCAATAATCTGTCCTCTGCCTCGGAACCAACCCCCCATCCCCGTGTGCCCAGCCATCTTTTCTACTAATGTAAGTGTTAAAAAACCTAATATTATTGATACAGTAGTACCCCGATTTACACGGTCAATTGAACCCACAGGGTACCGCGTGAAAACCGCGTTAAGTGAGCAACAGAACATATGGGATTAATTCCAATAGAGGCTGGCCCGATTCCCAAACTCCACTTTTTCCGACACAATACCTATGTTGTAGATTATTTATTTAAATTTTTTTTTTTTTATTATTATTATCTATGTCGGACTTCGACCTGGATTTATCCCTAACCCCATTAAGTCGGGTCTATCTGTAGTTGATAAATGTACATGTAGTTGTCATCTAATATTTGTAATGTATTTCCAGATGCATGGAAGTATCCAATAAGTGTGTCAAAGGAGTCTGTAGAAAAGGCTAAGGCAGTAAGGGAAATGGCCTTAAGGAAGAGGAAGACTGAAGCAGATGGTGAGTTGTGACTATATCTGTCCTTGATCACTCATATGATGTACACTGATAAAAGATACAAAATGAAGAATTCATATTTGTTATTGTAATGTGTGGTGTCCTTTAAAGAGGAGTATGGGAATTTTTATCACATTGTCATTATTTGCTTTTGTGTGTGTGTTTGCATGCATTCATGTGTGCGCTCGTTTGTGCGTGTCGACAATTTTTCAAACTGTATACAAGGACTGGATGATTCTTGTGCCAGAGTATGCTAAGGGATGAAACATCGGGTCTCAGTACCCTACTTGTTGAATCAAGTTTTCCCTCTCTGTGAGTATCATAGTCAGTGTTATTTATAGCTGGTTGGTTGTATCGTGTGGGGTTTGGTCTCTTTTGTCATGCAGAACAGAAAGCTAAGGTACTTTTATGTTTATAGGTGACCAGGAAAATAAGCGTGCTCGCCTAGACCCTCCTCCTGCTCCTCATCTCAGTGCTGCTCCTACACCTCAGCAGCCATCTACACCAAATCAAGTACCATCTATTTCCAGTAGCCTCCCACCGGGATCTATTGGTCCAGGTGGTGTTCGTGGAAACCTTACAGTAATCAACAAAGAACTACCACCTGAACAACACAGACCACGTATTCTTTTGTCAAGTGTGAAGCATAAAGAAGAAGTAGAAAGGGTGAGTTTTCCTATCAATCCACAATTCTTTGTTTATTTATTTATATTTTTATGAAAATCTTGTTGTTTGCAGCAGAAAAAAAATGATACACTTTTGAAAGTAATTGAAATCAGTTTATATCTATCTAAAGCATCATCTTTCTTAGCAAATTGTGTGATTGGAAAAGATTCATCTTGGAAAAAACTGTTTAATCGTATTCCAGAACTTGAAAATAGCAGCTGTCATAAAAAGTGCACGTCTAAAAAAACAATTCTGGCATTGGAGATCAGTTAATGCAAAACATTCAGTTAGAGGCAGGTAAATGGAAAGTTCTTTAGAATATCTTGCATGTCATCATTACTCTGGGAAAAAAGAGGTCCTTCTTTTCAGAGGGAGTCTAATAGGATAGGTAATAGTAATAATGGAAATTTTCTAGGTCTAATTGAGCCATCTTGTAATGATCAAGTTATTTATGAAAATGTAGCTAAATTTAGAGAAGCTCAGAATAAGGAAAGCATCTTCAGGCTCATTATCTGTCATATGCTTCACAAAATGAATTCATTCAGTTGTGTGCTGACAGGGTGAAAGCTTTCATCTTAAGTGAACATGATCATGCAAAGTATTTCTCACCATTGGTTGATACCACTCCAGATGTGTCACACACTGAACAAAATACATTTATATTAGGGTACATGAGTCATTAATTTGATGAATATAATATTTGAGAGGTTTTTTTCATTCATCGATGATGGTGGAAAGACTGGGTCAGAGATTTCTGATATGACACTAAAGCTTCTCAATGACAGTGGTATTATATTTGGAGATTGTAGAGGTCAAGGATACAACAATGCCAATAACATGTCAGGACCATACAATGGAGTTCACTGTCATCTTAAAAGTAAGAATCCTCATTGCATCTCTTCCCCTTGTGGCAGTCATTCTCTAAATCTGTGTGGTGTAGATGCTGCTGATTGCTGCAAAGAGGTGGTAACTTTTTGGGGGGGATGGTGCAGATTATTTTCCAAACAGTAGGAGGTACTCAGAAATCATAGGTGCATCTCTTTATGGGTTATCAGGGACACAATGGACAGATAGAGTAGCCAGTGTCCGACCTTTTGCTCGTCATTTACCAGGCATTGTTTCTGCTCTCAAAGAATTGTCTCGACTAAAGAGTTTGACAGTGAAGGCTAAGATGGATGTGACAGGTGCTATACATTATGTGTCCTCTCTTGAGTATGTTTTGATGGCAGCTTTTGGGTTTAAAGTGTTAAACTCAATAGATCAGGTGATACAGACTCAAAGTTCTGCCCTAGATATTGAAGTTAAGAATTTAAAGGGTCTCCAGGGTGATTTAAAAATGTTAAGTAAGTTGAATTCCACCAGGAAATTTATTTTTACTCAAGGAGGAGAGTGCTGATTGACTGTGAGAATAGATGATTACAGTACATCACTCATTGGCGGAGAGACTAGAAACAAGCATAGCCACTGTCAGCGACTCCCGAGTATTCTATCTTGTAACTTTTGCCTTGTACAGTATACTCTCAATTTAGCCGAAGGAATTTTTTCCATTATTTTTCGTTTGATGTAGTGAACTAGTTCGTTAAATCGAGATTAATTACATTAATAAGCTCATACCTACGGAGACACCTCAGACACATGATATGTACATAGAAACATTCAAACATTATTCATGACTTACCTTAAACTAGGGGGTTTAGTGGTTGTTTTCAAATTTTTGTTACAGTATTTCCAAACATTTTTCCAATTGATATCTGCACTCATTTGACTTTCTCCTCCGCACCACTTCCTTTCTGAGACTTCAGAATTATGTTTAAGCACAGTAGTTTGTTGACCAAGAGGTAGACCGAGAGGTAGCAGTGAACAACACCCGCGTTGGCGGCAGGACACAGACTGAGCAGATGTAAACAAACCCCACTCGTCAAGTGGCGGAATTTGACGGAATCACACTTGATTTAGTGAACTAGTTCGCTAAATCGAGTGAAAATAACGGAAATTCGATTTAGCGGAAAATTTTATTTACGAATTAGTTCATTAAATCGAGAAAATACTGTACAGTGGTCCCTCAGTTAACGAGCACAATCCGTTCTAGAAGGTTGCTCGTTAACCGAAACCATCGTTTCAATGGGTTTTCGGGTAATTGGTTCCAGCTCACCGAAAATTGCCTAAATTCAACAAAAAAAGGTAGAAAAGTACACTTACTTTGAGTTGTGTATGTAGAAGGCTCCTGGATGATGATGATGATGATGATGATGATGAGAATTAGAATGGGGGTGGCGGAGAAGGGAGAAGAGAAGGCATTGGGGTGGAAGAGAAGTTATCCCATGGCGCCATTTCACCCATAAAATTTTAGTTCTCTTGGTGTAATTCAAGATTATTTTCTTTAAGTCAACACTGCACTGCATTAGATATTGTCAATATGTAAAATAAATTTCAAAATGGCCAATAATTTGCTTGTAAACACAGAAAAAAGTGTTTAGTTGAAGAGAGTCTCAAGCAAGATGTTACCTCCACTGAAAAGACACAAAGACTGATGCCTGTATGGTGTGTTGAGAGGCTGGATGGCGTGCATAAAACTAGTTTCATTACCTTCAGTTATGTTCAATAATTGTTAAAATGACTAAATAATTTAATAATAAATTTGCTAAAATGGTAAGGAATTTAAGCCCTAGAACCGATTACTGTATTGGCGGACTAATACTACAGCTGGTGGACCGCCAAATGCAAGCGAAAACATGTTCAGGTCGGCTCGTAAGAAACTCATTAATCGAGGGATTGCTCGTTAACCGAAGTTAAGAATCTTATGGAAGGTAACTCATTAACCGAAATCTCGTTAACCGAGGCGCTCATTAACCGAGGGACCACTGTACTGTATTATGGAATTTCATTTTTGTGTTTACTCGTTAAAAGTAACTCCAGGAGAGGACCAAAGAGCTCTATAATGAATCAGCATTATGCAAGGTAGGGCTAAAAGGAGTATTACTGTAATTATTTGTGATAATTTGGATATGAATGGTCCGTTATTTTTTACGTTAACGAACCTGAGTCTGCAATATATGAACCTAGTCCGAGCGGGTCAGTGTCCATTAAAGCTGAAGTCTGTTATAAACAGTGTCCGTCGTATCGGGGATATACTGTAATTCAATTGCAGCTGTACTGTACACTGGAAGTTGGTGGCAATTGTTGAAATATTTCAGTTACACTGACAGTGGCTACTGAAGATTGGTTGCCGTTAGAATAATTCAGTTATACTGAAATATACTAGATATGAAAATGTATGCCATTCACACATCCAACTCTGAACCAACTACCATACATCAGATTGCTCCACTTTGCTTTCACAGTTTTCTTTGGTAGGCACAGTATTATAATTTATTAATTATATTTGTTTATTTTATTTATAAATGTTTTGCAGAAAGTACTGGAATTAGGAGGTTACTTAGCCAGGTCCAGCGTTGAAGCAACGCATCTCGTTATGGGCTCGTCTACAGCGCATCGCACCGTCAAATTTATGTGTGCAATTTCTTCTTGTCGATACGTAGTGTCACTGCAGTGGATAATAGACTCACATATGGAAGCAAAGTTTTTGGGTAAGTATTATTTAAAAAGAGAATAGAGGATAATTTTTTTTATTAGTTACTGTATAAGAATCTAGCAGACATATTTATTATGTACAGTACAGGTATCCCTCGCTATACGAATATACTGTACACTTACACCAATTTTCTATTCACACACCTCTTTCTTACTGTATTATAGCTATTCTTGCATCTACGAATGATGGTCCCAGCAAAAATTAAAATCATGTACGCTGGACACATCCACTCCCTCCATTGACTTGCCATTTAGATACTATACTGCACAGTGATAGTACAGTTATCTCTCTTTATCCATGTGTACAGTAATTGTGCCGTCCTTTTGTGAATCTTTTCACTATGGCATCCAAGCATTGTGTGATTCCTTGGCAACATCCACCATCGCTAAGAGACCGAGTAAGCCTTTGATAATTGAAAATGAGGTTGAAATAATGACACCAAAAAACACGGGAATGCCATAGTTGATTTCATTAATTTAAGGTACAGTACAGTACAGTACAGTACAGTAAAATATTGGGATTTTCTTTAACTTAAGTCCTAAATTACAGTAGTTAAGTACATTTTATATTGTTTTTAATTATGATACAGTAGTACGTATTAGGGTTTTCTTGTCGTTGGGGAACTGAACCCAATTTTTTCTATATTTGATATACAAATATTAACTTGAGGAGTGGTTTTCAAGGACTCTAACCCATTCATATACAATAGTGGGGGATAACCTGTATTTGAAAAAAAGAAAAGAAATCCTGTTAGATTATCTCTTATAGCCAATAATACTAAAATTATTTCATTGTTGATATATTCCATAATATACGACTCAGTTCATTAATAATGAGAAATAGGATAACATTTATGGTGACCAGGTACAGTCAACCAAAGATGCACCGACCCCACTCTGGGTCTCGTGCTCACAATTTTACCTGGCAATACTTGTTAAAGTAAGGCTGTATGTAAAGGTGATTGTGATTGGTGGATCTATTTTTGGCTGTATCACTGTCAGGATAATTATTAAACACACCAAAGGTAAAATTTTTATAATAAACTATTCATTGTTATTTAAGGACATGAGAAGTTTCCAAATGTTCATATATTTGCTTAAATAATGAAGAATGTTATATTAATGAAATGGCAACTCAACTACAACCACAGCTGCTACAAGACTCTCACATCAAATTGTCTTCATTATTTAAACAAATATACAAACATTTAGACACTGCTCATGACCTTGAATAACAATGAACAGTTTATTATAAAAATTTTACCTTTGGTGTGTTTAATAATTATCCTGACAGTGATACAGCCAAAAATAGATCCACCAATCACAATCACCTTTACATACAGCCTTCAATTAACAAGTATTGCCAGGTAAAATTGTCAGCACGAGACCCAGGGTGGGGTCGGTGAATCTTTGGCTGACTGTCCATTAATGTATAAAAATAGAACCCCTTTGCTATTCTGGTATCTAAAACATTGAACCCCTATAGTGTTTTAATACTTTTGATATTACCACTGATCTGTTTTAATTTAATTTCTTATAATTTGGATGCTTTACCCCTCACAAAAGAGAATAGGAAGGATGATAACGATATTTGTTATTAATATATAATCATCCATGATTTTATTACTTATAAGTCTCACTTTCTTCAACAGCTGAAGAAAATTACTTTATGGATATGCCAGAATATGAGCATGTCTTTAAATTCAGCCTAAAGGATACATTAATGAAGCCTAATAGAAGACAACTTTTAACAGTAAGTTTCTTTTTTATACTGTATTAAAATAATCACTTAACTGTCTAGCTGCTTCAGTGTTCAAGGTGATCCATGTTTATATTATTATGAGCCCCAACCAATTCCCAAAATTGAAGTTTACTTTACTTAGGCACTACTGTAGCGTATTATATTTTACAGCATATAGAGTTTATGGTATTTTTTCTCATTTTAAGAACACTATGGCCACAGACTTACTGTATCATGTTCCATATTAGTAGAAGTAAACATTAAATGCTTAACTCCACACACACGCGCACACACACACACACAAAAAAAACCCCACCCTAACTATTCCCTGCTGTAATGGGGGTACAGTGCGTCTCATATGCCTTAAAATGTGGTATTTGTTATTGAGCAGTGCCATTAAAGTAAACATGTTACATTTACTTGTTTTATATAAGACATTTATATTTTTCATTAGTCACTCCATCACTTCTGCCATGACTTTTCAATCCCTGCAGAAAATCTAATTTAAATTTCTCTTATCTCTTAGCAACATATTCAACGGAGTCTTATTGATTTTGAAAAATATGTGTTCTTGATATATAGAATAGTTAGAAACAGAATAATGAATCAGAAAAATCATGAATATGAGGCAGTTTTAGGAATTTGATCTTATATTAAGTGTGAGTATGTGTACCAGATCATAGATGAGAACCATTTTAAAGATATGGCTAGAACAAACAAAAAGAGAGAGAAAAAGACATGGAATGGACAAGGTTGGAATTGTATCCATGGAATTATACTTCATTCTGATGATTACTTGTGTGATCTACAATTTTAAATATTCCCAGTAGTTATATATTGGAATCACTGTTTCTTTTGCAGGGGAAGACGTTTTACCTGACGCCATCAGTTGTTCCTGGACGAACTTGGCTACGGGAAATTATAGAATGTGCCGGAGGAACAGTTGAAATCAAAAGACGCACATTAAAAGATATTAAAGAAAAAAACAAGTAAGCCAAATATGCTTAAAAGTTTGACTTTTGTGTAACTGATATAAAAGATTAATATATTATTATTAACAAGTTTTCAGTACACGGTGGAAATATCTGCATACTGTTTTATAAATTCACCAGCTTACTATCACTAAGGTCAAAAAGCAATATGATACATATTTTATAAATAAATTTTCACTAGATAATTTTCCATGCTTTAAAGAGCCAGGTAGTAGGCAGCTATCAAACAGGGAGGTACTACCGACTGGGAAAGTATTGAAGGTATAATGTATTGTCTAATGGTAGACCCTGCTGCCTGACTAATTTGACTTTCAATTGTTTCTTTTACTTTGAAAACACAACATACATATGTCGTTTCTCACTATTGATCTTCTTTTATAATTTTTAAATTATTTATTGTCCTTTGTTATTATTATTATTATTATTATTATTATTATTATTATTATAATATTTTTATTTAATCTTTTTATAATTTTTAATAATTTGTATTACAGTAATTTATTATTATTATTATTATTATTATTATTATTATTATTATTATTATTATTATTATTATTATTATTATTATATTTTTTGCCCCAGGCCCTAATGTGGGTCATTGACCTGTGCAAAATTTTCCAGAAATTGCTCCCATCTGAAAATCTTTCCCCAAACCCCAAAAATTCTGAGAAAATTTCAGTTCTGGCTATCGGAAAGTTCCAGTTAAAAGGGATTCCGGCAATTAGAAATATTATTTATTATTGATATACTGTATAAAAATGCCCAAGTCAATGACAGTTGATCCTTGGGGAAGGAAAACCATAAGGGAACTGTTAATACAGTAGAAGTCCAAAAATCCGGACTGCTTGGGGATTTGGTCGGTCCGGATTTTCGGATTTTCCGGATTCTCAGGCGGTACTTTTAAAATTAAAATTTAAGGAGGAATAAAGAAGCGATGAACAGGTACATTTTGATAGTTTATTCATTAGCAAATATAGCATGCTTCATTTATCAAAACGAGCAGTTTTAATAAAAAAGCTGTGATTTCTAGAAATTTAGTTTTTGCCTTTTTTATATCATAAATTGTAGACTTTCCAATGTCGTATGTTTCCATTAGAGCAGTATTGCTCACACCACGTTCTAGTTTCTTAATTATTTCAAGTTTGTCACTCAATTTCAACGTGTTCTTCTTTCTCTTCACACAACGAAGTTTATCTACTTTAGGAGCCATTATTATGGGCTTGTACAGTACTCTGTAAATGGAAAGAGTAGGACTCTAAATATTGTTATATTACAATGGTATTCTATTCATACTGTGCTTGATATAATGCATTCACGGAAATGTAATATTTTTGCTGAAATGACGTACGTATTACAGTGGAAAGTGGGATAAAATCGTGACGAAAACAATGACTTTCGCTTTCTTTCATTCAAAAGATGTTACCGTAATCGCTTTTCGAATGGTTTTCAGTTAAAATACTGTTGTATTACAATAATATTCTATCCTAATTGACTTGAATAAATACTACGATACCATATTTTTGAATGTTTTCATTAAAATCCATCAAAATCATTTTCCTTGTCATCGTCTGCAGCACCAAACAGCTTCTCCCAGTCCTCTCCTTGAACAGGGCTAGAGGGTACGTGTTTTTCGAATCATTTTCAGTTAAAAAACTATTACATCACACATATATTTTACCTAAACTGCTCCTGAATGAATATATTCTCGGAAATAAATAATAGATTTGCTGAAACGTGATGTATTTCAATGTAAAATAGGATAAAATACATGACGAAAACAAAGGACTTTACCTAAGCTTCCGATGTTCTTGAGATGTTACTCGTTTTTTTAATAGTTTTCGGTTAAAATTCTGTTATATTACAATGATATTCTATTCATACTGTGCTTGATATAATACATTCACAGAAATGTAATATTTTTGCTGAAATTACGTACGTATTACAGTGGAAAGTGGGATAAAATCGTGACGAAAACAATGACTTTCGCTTTCTTTCGTTCAAAAGATGTTACCGTAATCGCTTTTCGAATGGTTTAGTTAAAAAACTGTTGTATTACAATAATATTCCCTCCTAATTGACTTGAATAAATACTTGAATGAAAATATACAATATTTTTGTTGAAACTACCCGCGTTTCAGTGTAAAGTGTCGTAATAATAAATGGTAAACAATTTGCCTTCGGCACTAGTGTTTCAGGCACGGCGAGCTTCAGTTTATAGGGCGTAGAGCGTTGTTACTGAAGGTTTTGTTGTTCCATTACCCTCAAAAACATGGGTCGAACTATAAACGAGGAATATCATAAATTAACGATTTCTTGGTCAAAAGATCAGGGTCGACCAATAAACGAGGGGGGTTATAGACGAGTTTATATGGTATGTTGTCACAGTTTGATTGCTCGTTTTAAAGTGGCGACCATGTGGTCGCTTGTTGTCGCTGTGCAGCTGTGGCGCTCACGCATGCGCACATACACACAAAAGCCCGCTAAAAAAAAAAAAATAGTTTGCGAAAAGTCCGGATTCTCGGGTGGTCCGGATTTCTGGCATCCGGATTTTTGGACTTTTACTGTATAAGGTAATTTAACATATAAAGCAGAGTAAGATTCTTTAACGCTGATGAAGAATCCATTGCTGCTGGTTTTTTTTTTCTTTTTTTTTTCTTGCCTTTTTTCCTAGATATTCCCTGCTAAGTTAGGAGTGCACCTTCGTGGTGGTGCACCTTAGATGCCGGGAAAAATGCTAAGTCCGTCTGATTTTTATTATTTTTTTTTTATGCATCTAGATTATTTATATTGTTCAGTAAAACGTAGGAGAGAGGGACAGCAAGTGCTTGGTTGAGTCACTAACTGAATTGTGAAAGTATCGGCATGTGTTTTCTGGAATGTGCTTGGAGAGTGTCAAGATCCTTCCTCTCCCTCTCCTTTCATATTCATTGTTTGTATGCACCAGTGAGATGAGATTGTAATAATATGATTTACTTCTCTGTGTTATAATGTTAATAGCTTCCATTTTTTTCTTCTTCTTTAGAGATGGACTTTACAAGTATTTAACCATTGCTACACAATCTGATGTACATTTAGTGAAGGATCTTCTCCAGGAAAACATGCGTGAGTAAATTTTTGTTTTTATGTACACACATTCCCCGGGTTACGGAAGGGTTCCATTTTGGAATATCTTTCTATTACACAAAATTCCATAACATGAAATCTTTTTTCCCATATACTTCCATTATAAAAGTTGAGGTTGTTCCTACGGAAAATTTTTGAGGCCCAAAAACGTTACATAAGCACTTATGTGTATGATATTAGATGGTTTTAACCACATACAATAAATCATTCATGATGTAACATTATATTAATAAACAAGACACTCGAATTTTACTGACCAGAAATGATGTTGAGTACTGAGTTAGGTGAGGTGAGATGGTGCAATTGGAGTTACTGTACTGGGAGTTGATGGTGGGTCACTGCTGACTCCTGCCTCTCCCTGTGAATCATCATCATCTTCTTGGGCTGCTGGCTGAGGTTTTGGGACAAAGAACTTGTCCAATGTGATCTGTCTTTGACGGTGCAATATCTCGGTTCTCCATTTCTCTCGTAAACTTGAGGGTGCGTTCACGGTCTGGATCATGTGTCTCAGCAGCTTGCATTACATCCTGCTGTTGACTAAGCATTTTAGACAAAACCTTTGTTGACCTTTCATGGCATGATGCAACTTCTGTACAGGTCTCCTGTTCCTTAGCGGAAACTTGCTCATCCTCCATTAACATTAAATCTCATTGTGACTCTAATAGCTCTACTACACCAGCTTGGTCTACTTCCTGGAACCCTGTATTATTTGCCAGAGTTACAAGTTCCTGCTGCACCTGATCCAAGGGCTGGACCTGGGGAAAACCTTGTAAATCATAAACACAATCTCGCCAGATGTTCTTCTACACACCATTCATAGTTGTATTTTTCACCTCATCCCAGGAGTCAGCAATATTGTTGACAGCATTCATGGTGTTAAATTGTCTAAATATCCTGTGTAGATAGTATGCCTTGAAGTTAGCAATCACACCTTGATCTATAGGCCAAAGCACTGAAGTTGTGTCCTGGGCAGGTATTCAACCCTGATGTTAGGTGAAAGGTCATTAAGGTTAACAGCATTATCAAGAAGTAACAGGGCTTTGTTTGCAACATTTTGTTAGTTACTGTACCTTTCTACAGCAGGACAGAAGCACTTAGTAAACCAATTTTGGAAGAGAGGCTGCCATCATCCATGCCTACTTATTGGAGTGCCATATTATAGGTGACCTGGATTTGTTGTAGCCCTTGAAAGCCCTGGCATTTTCTGAGTGGTACACAAGAATGGGATTTAGCTACATTACCCCTAACCGGAGCGTCACACGATCTTTGGAAGCCTTGAACTCAGAAGCTGTTTTCTCCTCGGTTTAAATAAAGGCTCTGGCAGGCATCCGCTTCCAAAAGAGGCCTGTTTCATCAACATTAAATACTTACTGTGGTGTGTATTCATCAGCCTCATTTATTACTTATAGTTCAGTTGGATAATTTTTGGCAGCCTCAGTATCAGCATTGGCTGCTGCACCTATCATCTTGATGTTGTGTACGTAGGTTGGAACATATTTTTAAATGGTCCATACCACCCATTGCTGGCATTAAAGGGTTTTTCATCTGAGTTACCATCTTCTTCCTGCTTTAAATCTGCATACAGAATCTTAGCCTCCTGAATCACCATTGTACTAATGGGCAAATTTCACTTGGTCTGGTCCTCTATCCATACACTGAGTAACCATTCCATTTTATCATTATATCACTTCAAAGAAAAGTACGAGCTGACATTGGAATAGCAACATTAGCAGTACTGTCGCCCTAATTTTCTATTTGTTATCACGGATTGTTCCAACAGTGGAAGTAGCCAGGCCCAAAGTTTTGGCAATGTAGCTCATCTTCTGCCCCTGGTCAAACCACCTAACATATAAAATTTTGTCTCTAAGGTAATAAATACCCTTTTGTGCACCACTGTGCTGCCATGGTAAAATGTTATAAAATGTTTTAAAAATATTTTCTTTTTTCAGCTGTTTATAATGCCGAGTTCGTGCTGGGTTCCATCTTGAAACAAGAAATTGATCTTCAGATAGCATTATATGTTGATGAAAATTGATCTTCTGCATTAATATTAAATGTTTAAAGACCATCCAGGGTTTAGCCTTAGTGGTACACTAAAACGTAATTCTAAACTTTAAAAAGGTTTACGAATTGATATATTGATAATTTATTAATGTCTTTACAGTACATGATAAACTGGTAAATGTTTTCTGTGCAGTATTATACAAATGGATCAACAGAAGGCTAAGTGAAAATATAAAAGCCTACACCAAAAAAGAGTAGCTTACCTAATATTTTTCAAAACCAGTGTATGAATTCCAACCCCAAATTACCTCTCCTCAAGCATTCAAAATCACCAAGCTCCATAACTTTTGCAACCTCTGAAGACAAGGGCAAAGTTCATGCATTTCTCCCTACAATCAAGTTGGATTTCCTATATAACCCCCCCCCCTCCCCCTGCAATTCATGTAATTCAAATGAAAAAATTGAAAGCCTTAAAATAAAATAAAAATTTTAAATTTTCTTTGATGTTTAGGAGTCATTCTTGTGTGTAAGCAGCAGTTGTCATCAGATCATCATCAAAGAGATCGACGACAAGGTCTTGCTGGGCCCAACATCCCCTCCCGAGATAGAGACCTGACAGCTAATGACGTTAGGTCAGTCTGCTTCTGGTCACGTGGGTTGGCATCATGGGTCAGTCTGTGTGTTTAAAAAAGGTTTTGTGTAAGAGTATACAGACTCTCCTCGACTTACGACGAGGTTCCGTCCCGACGACCAGGTCGTAAGTCGAATTAGTCGTAAGTCAAAAAGGCGAAAATAATACATAGAAATTTTAAATGGGTGTCTCTTTTTCTTCTCAGTACCACGAGAACTCTCACTTTTACGTTGCCAGCCATTTTAAAGGAAATTACAAAACAAATTTTGTCAGTACACAACGCGATCACTAACGTCGGGACTCGAAAATACGTAATGTGAAAAATATTTTATACGACCATGGCCGTCGTATGTCCGGGTTGTCATAAGTCGAGGAGAGACTGTATGCATTTGCGTAGATGTATTGTAAAGTATATTTATATGCTAAATTGTTCAAAATATAGTATAGATTAATTTATAACTAATTGACATGAGATGTCAACTGCCAATCAGAGTGCAGGTATGCCATTCATTGGTAAAATGTGCTCAAGTCACCTCCCTGGTCCAAGTGGTAATGTAATTTTGACACGGGCACCAGGAAGGTATAAAGGACCTGATCACCCTTGCGCGAGGTAAAATCTGATTATATATTTAATTATGGCCATCACAAAGGTGGCCACTAAACACCATCACCATCAGACCACCACAGTAATGATGTATCACTAGTGTGGCACCTTCACACATGTGGAAATCTCTGTTTGTTTGTATGAAAGATTTTATGTGTGTGTATAGGAGAATGTATTTTCAAGTATTTACGCTTAACTGTGTTGTCTGCATTTGCATTTCTATACAAATTACTGTATTTTTATACTGCAGCATACATGTTTTAATGGGAGAATTCTGTTAAATTAAATGCTGTTACACCTCTGGAAATGAAGTGGATATGTTTATGAAAATCACTTTGTCCTCACAAACTTTGTTGTCAGAGTTGGATTTAAAGGGGAATAGGTTCCAGTCCTTCATTATTCTGTATTTTGCATATGCAAAAAACTAATAAACAATGAAAATGATATATGGCACATCATTACAATAGTGCACATTTTATGTATAAAAAATATATCTGGGTGATGCCGAGAGTGAACCACACAGTTCAGCCTGTCAGCTGACTCAGATGTGTTTGCCTGCCACTCTGTGCTGTGTGTATGCCTTGACATCATATTGGGCCCCGGGGGAGGGAAGACAGTGCCAGCTGGCTGTCACACACGTTCACTTCCCACACATACTCAACCATGCTCTTCATTTTTCTTATTTCATAGTTTTGTTTTATGTTTTCTTTATTTTTAAGCCACATAAGAGTGCAGGTATGGAACCATATATCCAGCAGGCTTGGGACCCGAGGGTTGCTGTATATTTATTATTTTTTTTTCCAAAGGAATTTGGAGCACCAGGCCTAAAATGTACAGTAAACCCTCTTTAACTGGCTGTGAAGCCTCTGTTCAGATCACTAGATTAATCCTAAAAGTAGCTTTAACTGTACACTGTAACATTAAAACTTAAAATTGTAGCACATAAACAGCTATTATGAAAGCATACACTAAACCCTTGCTATACGTGAAGGTTAGGTTCCAAGAAATAGCACGATTGGCAAACCCACGAATAGCAACTTGTATACTAACTTAGTGCACTAATATATACTTACTACTACTACTTTGCTGTCACTCGGAATCGAGTATGACGATCATCCAGCAGTGATACAATGGTATGAGTTATTATGGATGTCACTTACGTTGGTGAGTTCTAAGGTGACTAAAGAGGCTGATGAGGGACCGGCAGGGTCGTTCACAGTTGCACATGAGGGCTACATCTAGTGCGGGAGGGGCGACGACAGCATCTTTCCGGCGTTGGTGCTTGTTTGCCTCGTTATGCAGTCAGGCTAACTCGAAAGTATTGACACCTTCTTGTGTGGTGATCCTCCAAGCATTACGGTGTGGAGCAATCATCTCCCAGGTGAGGGGGTCAATTTGGCACTTTTTCAGGTTTGTCTTAAGACTATCCTTATACCTTTTCAGTTGCCCGCCAGCGTTACGTTTACTATTCGTTAGGTGACTGTAAAGTAGCTGCTTTAGCAGTCTACTGTCGTCCATGCGGGTAACATGGCCAGTCCATCATAGTTGTTCATGGATAATGGTAGCCTCGATGCTCCTACAGTTAGTGTCAGCAAGAATACTGGCATTTGTTCTCTTGTCTTCCCAGCGAACTCGGAGGATGGAACGTAGGCTGTTGGTGAAAGTTTTCAAGTGCCTTGAGGTGCTTCCTGTATGTGACCCATGTCTCGCTGCCATTTAGCAGGGTAAGGAGGACCACTGCTCAATATATGTGTAACTTGTAGATAATTTCAGCTCCCTACAGCTGAAACACAGTTTTGGAGTCTGCCAAAGGATTGAGATGCACATCTAATCTGATGCTGAATCTCTTCATTGATGTCCACTGTGGTGGACAGGTGGGAACCAAGATACTGGAAGTGTGTAGCATTAGAGAGGGTTGTACCGTTAAGCTGGGCGGATGGTGGAGGTGTGACAGAACCAGTGGCAAGCTGAAAGAGAATCCGAGTCTTATGTGCATTCACCTCAAGGCCGAAGTGTGCATGCGCATCTGCGTAGGTGTTCAGGATCTCCTGCAGGTCGCGTTCAGTGTGAGCAACAAGGGTGAGGATGTCTACATACTGGAGTTCAGTAATAGAAGCTGCCGACACCTTTGATCCTGCCTGGAGTCATCTTAAGTTGAAAAGACCCTTCATCCGGTACTCGATGTCCACCCCGCTGGCTAAATTTGCACTGGTACGAGTAAGGAAGGTAGCCAAGAAAATGGAAAATAGAGACGGTGCCAGTACACACCCTAGTTTAATCCCTGTTTGGATGAGGAAGAACTCAGACTGGGTGCCATTGTGCAGGACACTGCCATTCATGCCATCGTGGAGTTGTTTCACAATGGCGATGAATTTTGGTGGGCAGCCAAAACGGCTGAGGGTCCTCCGAAGGGCTTCCCTGTTGACCGAGTCGAAGGCCTTGGTTAGGTGGATGAAAGCCATGTACAGGTCACGACGCTGTTCTCTGCACTTTTTATGTATCTGGCAGGCAGCAAAGATCATGCCAGTGGTGCCACGTGATGGTCTAAACTCACATTGAGATTCTAGGAGGAAGTTTTCTGCCTCAGGAAGAAGTCTGTTTAGGAGGATTTGGAAAATAATCTTGCCAGCTACGGATAGAAGCGAGATCCCGCAGTAGTTGCCACAGTCTGACCGATCTCCCTTGTTCTTATAAATATTGACAATGGAGGCGTCTTTAAGAGCTTGGGGATTTCCTCCTTTTCCCATATATTTTCCAGGAGAGAGTGGAGAACAGCTGGTAAGCAGAGGTCCTCCTGCTTTATACACCTACACCTCGGCTGTGATTCCATCAGGCCCTGAAGCTTTGTAATTTTTTGATGGCAGTAGCTACCTCATCCAGGAATGGAGGATAGCTGAGGTGGGTCATCTCTGGATGCTGAGGGACCTGCTGGATAGTCAGGACATCCACATTGGTGTTTTGGTTAAGCAGTGAATGGTAGTGCTTTTTCCAGCGCTGAAGGATGCTTTCATCGTCTTTAATTAGGGAGTTACCGTCGGATGAGCGGACGGGGGCTGTGCCACGAGTGATTGGCTCATAAAATGTTTTAGTGAAATTTAAAAATTGGTGCATCTTGTGCTGATCTGGAAATTTTTGTGTTTCACATGCTTTATTTTTAAACCAGTCATTCTTTAGATTGTGAAGTTCACGCTGGGCCGTCACTTTCTTCTTGTGGAAGGTATCAGCTTTGGTACGAGACTGAGGATTGTTCTGCCAGTCAGTTAAAGTAACACGTTTATCATCGACGAGTACATTGATTGCCGGGTCATTTTCATCAAACCAGTCCTGGTGTATCCTTTCGATCTGGCCGAGGATCTCTCTGCAGGTTTTTGTCATGACAGTGTCAAGAATATCCCATTCAGCACTGGAATTTGGGTTGTTTATCAGCCCAAGTTCGAGCCTGCTCTCTGAAAGCATGTGCTACTGCTTGGTGTTAAAACCTCTTCTGGAGGCTTGCTGCCTTCACCGTTTTGGGGCGACATGAAGTTATAGCTTGGCTCTGATGAGCTGATGATTAGTGTCGCAGTGGTCTGAGGGTGGTGAGGACATCATGGCAATCTCTTTCTCTGACATTGATGTTGTCAATGAGATGCCAGTGTTTGGATCGTGGGTGTTGCCACGAACCCTTGAAATTGTCAGCCTGTCTAAACAAGGTATTGGTGATAGTGAGGTTGTGTGCAGCACACTTACTGAGGAGGAGTAGGCCGTTGGGATTACACTTGCTTAGTCCATTTCTCCTTATGGTTCCTTGCCAAATGTCATTATCTCTGCCAACTCTGGCATTGAAATCACCAAGAAGCACAACCTTGTTTTCTCTGGGGATAGAGGTTAGCACTCTGTCGAGGTCGGCGTAAAAGGCCTCCTTGATGTTATCCCCTGCATACAGTGTTGGGGCGTATGCACTGATGAAAAAGGCATGACGTGAGTGATTCAGTGGGACTCTGAGCATCATGAAGCGCTTGTTGATCCCAATAGGCATTTCCGCTAATGCATCCTACACAGGCTAACTTAAATACTCGTATAACCTATACTGTATATGAGAAACTTAGTCACCAATACTATACTTATATTTGTATGTGGAAGTTTGGAGCTTGATGAAGTGGTTACTGAAGCATAGGGGGATTATCAGGATCACTGTTGGAAGAGGGTGATGCAGTGGTGGTTGGTGGAGAGGTGGGAGGTGGCACATGGCTGGGTGGAGCGGCGGTGGTAGCAGCTGGTTCTTTCTTGAAAAACATTGTGATTGGTAGTTGTTTTTTCTTTGCTTTGAAGTCTTTAAACATTTTCTGGTAGGAAAACAATATCTGGTTGATTCCTCGGCCAATCTTAAGGTTTTGTTCCGTGGAAGGGTATTGGTCAACAATGAAATTAGTTACCATCTTCACCTGTCGAAATAGCTCACCAAAATTGTTCAAGCCCAACCTTCTTGTTGCAATTCCAATATTTCTTTTTCATCTTCTCGCCACTTTTTACTAACTCTTCCAAATCCTCTTCTGTCAGTTTCTCTCCATGCCCATCAATCAGCTCTTCCATGTCTTCAGCAGCCATATCCACAA